TTTACAGAAACATCCTGGCGCCAAAAAGGGGTAGAAATATGAACCCGCTTCATTGTTGGGTTGGATGCTTTTTGATGCATTCTATACACTTTGGGCCCTATAAAATGCCTAGAGGGGGTTTATTTCCTATAAAATGCAAAACAGTGCACAAAACCTCCAAACTATAAAAATGGGGATGGTGGATTCTGAGCATTCAACACCAAAAATGACCCCAAAAACAGCAGGCCTATATAATTCCCATGATGGGTTCACCATGGAAAATATACAAAAACACACACTGTCTACATATATATATATATATATAATGCCACGTGTGGGTGCAAACACGAAACCATGTTGTTTATAACATGCCCTTGGTGGGTCCTGTACTCATCTAAGAGAAAAATAACGAGTTGCCTATAAAATGCACTGACCAGGTGCAGTATCAACATTACAAAAAAAACACATCCTGCTATAAAATGCCCCCTTGACCCTAACAGCCTCAAAATCACTCAAGTTTATAAAATACAAAAATTGACCTCGTACCTGCAAAACCTTAAGAAACACGCCAAGATTCAGAGTGTGCACCGCATGGGTGCCCTATAAAATGAGGGTCAAATTTGGCATAATATAGCACAAAAGGATCGGCATTTTATAGGCGAACACCGGTGGGGGTTGAAATATGCTACCCCTCAAAAATTGACGTGTTCAAAAACTATAGCCAAAAGCCAAACGCAGTTCCTGTATGTCTGTGTGCTGATACTATGCTCTGACTCTCTGATAGTCACAAATTATCAACATACATACATATATATATAATATATCAACTATAAATAATAGTGTGTCCCTGACCCAATTGGCCGAGAGATAAGACCTTTGTGGTCATCTAGCCTAGGCATTCTTAAACAATTGGAGGCCCAGGCATTGCGAACGTCCGCACCACAGCCAGCCCCTCACCACCCTTGGTTCTCCCCTGGGGCTCTTGACATAGCATCGGCACCCGGTAAGAAATCCCTCTCCGAGGAGGTCTGGGATTGAGTGAGCAGTGGGTCCTCCAACATGCAGTCGGACCAGTGAAGTTCGTGTGTGTGTGTGTATGTGTGTCAGAGTGTGTCGGCGCGGTGAATCACCGAGAGACACAGCAAAACCCATCGTGGCCGAACACAAAAGAATCAGCATAGTCTTATCAAGTACTTGATACTGACTATAATATTCATGTATACCCTCAACCGAAAAAGTTTTGATTTGTGTTTCTTTGTTAAAGGACATTCCCTGCAGTGAAGTTCGCTTGAGTCCGTCCGCCATGAAGCATCAGTTGTCCTAAATGCTCAGTCATGCTCAGTCTGCCACTGGAAGGACCAGCACAAGAGTGTGCAAGCAGACGCATGCTATCAAATGAGACGATGAAGCTCAACAAGAGCATCCAAGGGGCTTTTCATATCCTGAGGTTGGTACATTGACACGGTTCATGAAGAATAACCATATAAATAGACAGATCCATTCCAGCTTGAGGATTTCAGAAACCAACGCAAGGAAAGATGCAAACATTGCAAACCACAAAACAGCTTGGTCAACACCGGGCACCAAAAGTAGGAACTCCTCTCTTGGAGTCGTTTTCGCCACATTTGGTGAAGTCCTTCCCCTGCTGAGGTCCTGATACTCAAGCAGTTTCTTCCTGAAGCAACCCCGGTCCAACATATTTCCTACCTGAGGCCACCGGTTTATGCTCCCCATCCAAGATGTTTGCGCGAGTACGACTTCTTGAATCACCTCTTGATGTTGGTGTTTTTACCGCGCACCAAAAAAACAAGTGGACCAAGAGGCAAACATGCCATTGACACATTGTACATAGCGAGATCACCGCTCTGTTGGCCGGTTTGGGACGTAAGGAAGACCAACAGTTCTATCCATTCGACTACCTCCTCAGAAAATGTTTGTGAGTACGTAGGATTTGGGGGACAGTTCTAGTTCTTTCCTTGTGAGGCTGCATTTGGAGTCCTGTTGCTGACGGAGGACCTCCTGCAGCACTTTTATGAGGACCCTCTGAACAGGTCTTTGTGGAATTCCACACAGACATTTTGTGTCAAAGTGGTGCAGGATGTTGTTTGTCTCATTCTTTCCGTCAACCATAGATCTTGCCACATCTCCTGCAAGTTGCTCCTCTGCAATTGGGCATGCCTCAGTGAACATCAACAAACGACTCCAAGGAAGTTTCACAAGTGGTTGTGTTGACCCCGCAGTCCTTGTCTGGCCAGCGAAGAGAACATAGAATCTGTGATCCACCCCAAGTTGGTCTCCGGACCCGAACCGACAATCCACGCTCCACGCTCTCGGTTGCAGTGTCGGGTCCATGGAGCATGGCCATGGCCCGAAAGTTCACGACAGTCAACACATCCAGGCATGGAAAGGACATCATTTGCGAAGGCGATTCGAATCCAAAAGGATTGTCTTTGGGTAACATCCAGGTGAGACGGATCATATCAGGCCATCCCCGCCCCAAAAAATACACTCGAATATATCTAAATGTATATATATATACAAAAATACCTTCACTGTATATAGAGAAACTCGGTGTACTGACTCAAGAGCTGAAGACTTGGAAACCCATGCTGACAGGGGCAGATTCTGGAAGGAACTGAGAGGTGGTCAAACATGATCAACTCTTCAACATGCAAATACTATATCAAATAATGATACCCTGAAAAGGCAACAAACATCATCCAAAAGTCTGTCCTGGATGCTCTGGATGCTCTTATGACCCTTCAAAACCATATGTTAATTTTCTTCTGTACTCAACAGTACTCCTCATCCCCCAAAATGTGTCCAAGGATGTGTCCAAGGGGTCAACCTTATGCCCCGCTCAGAGCTCTTGGCTCAAATCCCCAAGACGTTGTTGGGTTCCCTATATAAACCACTTGGGAAGACTGAGCCGCTCGAGACAAACTTCGATCCCTGGAAGCCCCCCCGGCAGGCTGGCTTCAGCTCCGGGTTGCATCTGGGCGCCACGGCGCGCGGAGCTGGCAGTGAAGACATGCCAAAGTCGATCTCGTAAGATTCAATCGATTTGCACCACACCCTGATAAAATCTTGAGAGGCAACTCATCTCTGGATGATTGAATCAAAAGGAATGAGCAGCTGAGTGGTCACATCAACGACTCACGGTTATCCCCCAAGGCCCAAAGGTCACCCATGTGCTGTTGGCTGACACCGTGACCCTCAACGCCTAAGGATCGAGCTACAGTAATTGTAAAAGGTTGATTCATCTTCAACTCCGCCCATGTGGATTGTAAAAGTGCTTGATACTCTTCATGTGGGAGGCTGGGAGGTTGTATTTAATATGTTTTAATCAACAGTTGGTAGAGTTGTGGTTATAAGCAACAAGCTTGGCTCTGTAAAATTCTTGCTACTATGTCCAATCCTAAACACCCAACTCTCTAACCAAAAGAACACACCTCTGCCACAAGGTCAAACATTGCCCAGTCAGCCTGGAGTGGAAGCACCTCGTCCAAGAAGTTCCACTTTCATTCATCTTTGATCGGAACATATATTGCTAATTATGGGTCTTTAAGTAACAAAACCACCACCGGGATGGCTCCGAATGGCATATGTTTTTGTTCTTGGCACAAAAGCTAAACTTTGGGGCCCGTAAAGGGATCGTTGGGCCATATAATATAGATGTTTCAGCCAGTCGTTTTGTTCCAACGGGGCAAGCCTCGTTTGCCTCGCTCCGCCCAAATTCCCTTCCCAGGGCCCCAACGATGGGCAAACCAAGCCTAGCGAGGCGCAAGGCAAGCGGATCGACTAGTCCATTCTTAACTCAAAAAAACTAAGGGATCCCCTTGGCAAGTGGATACACCTTGCTTCCAGAAAGTGTCGCCACCTGCAGTCGAAGGATTGAACAGGATTTGTCCTGTGCTGTTGGGTGTTGGAGTGCCATTCTGAGATCAACTTTCAATTTGCTCATCAGGTCAAAGCTGTCGGCCACCCACCCACCGCACCACCCACCGCGTCCGCCTGGAGCTCTCTGAGACCGAAGGTGTGGTGAGCGCAGGTGCAGATCCCAAGGTCTCTTCTGCGACCTGCAGTCCAGGCCAGCTGAGATGTCGCACAGCGAAGGAAGCCACCACGCTTAAGAGTTGCAGGAAGTCTGATGGCTGGGATCATGGAATCGAAGATTCAGAATCGCTGGGTCTGATGTTGATCATGGAAATCATGCAAATCAAAAGTCAATCTCATCGATCAAGCCTTCAAAATCGTCTCAATCTCCCACTTCAGTGGCTCCAGGACCATACTTGATTGGTACTCCACCCTGGACCCTCCATGTATCCGCGGGTGATCCCGATACGACAGAAAGTCGATCCTTTGGGAGCATTGAATGATGTCCTTCGGGGAATAGCCAGGTACCATATACTGTACAGACCTAAAGCCAAACCTGACCTCTGGTTTGATGGGAAATAGAGCACATATTTTTGTTGCGTGGTGATCCAACGTGTGATTCACCAAAAACTACATATATAATAAGTAATTGTGGCTTGTTAGGGGTATCTCTATCGATGAATCAACCAACCCATAGTAAATGGCTGTCTATGAAATTAATCCGGCACTTCTCAGGTGAAGCAGCTATCTTAGTCGCTTGCTTGCTTTGGTTGCGACCACAAAGCACAAGTACACGAGTACTCACAAGTACTGATAGCTGGAATACAAAGGGATATTACAATAATTATAGTAATGGTTGGGTCATGCGATTGTCATCTCGGTCATTTGCCTCAATTCAACAAACTTGGGAACGCTTTGCTACGAAGTGGGGCAAGCCTGCACCTCCTTGGCTCCCTTTTTGAGGGCTAACCCAGTAGCAATAAATTCAATAGTCGCGCTGCACAACAAACATATACTATATATATATACAGTATTATGTAAACAAAAGTGATATCCTGCTCCCTCCAATCTGCGACTTTCCATCAAACTTCAAACCTGCCTGCAGATTAACACCCAAGGGCTCCTCATTTTCACAACAGCCTGGTGCTCATTTGGTCACACAGACACGTGTCCGCCCCACCCTTTCCTTTAGCATACTTCTTGCCACTAGTAGCGATGCCCTGATGCACTTGTTACTCGTACTAGTAGCGATATATCTATATATAGATAATAGATACCTTTCCTCAAAAATTCACATCCTTTCGAAGTCACTCCGTCGCTCACAGCCTCGTCGAGGTCCATCAGCGTCGCGTGTCGCAACGCCGAGGCCCGACGCGCACCTGGATCTTCCCAAATGCGCTGGGCGCAGGCCACGGAAATAGACCGTGTTTAGTATGGGTGTGTGTGTGCGCTAAAAATACAGGGCCTCCAACCAATGGGTTAGGGTCGATGTTCCTTCTTCCAGGAGTGAACTGGGAGCTCTCTCTATTCTAAGACCCATTGGATCTTCCAAGTGTGCAATATTCTGTCTTTGGGCATACGTATCTTTGGGCTGATTTTGGGATAAGGCAACCAAGAAGTGTTGGGAAGATCCAAGCAATTACGCCACTGAGATGCACGTAGCACTTACATAACATGCTCACAAAGATGCAATAAGTGAGCCTGCAAATCCCATTCATCCGCAACCGGAGCCCGGTCCAGACCGGGGTCTCGGACGCTCCGACGGCCAATCCGCGACGTCCGCAGCTTCCACCTGCAGCTGTCGGCAACAAAGAACCCAAAACCGTCGGTTTTTGATGAAGAATGGCAGAATGGATTCAGAATGATGCAAATCAAATCGAGTCGGTTCACTTTGGGTCCATTCAGTTCATGCATCCTTCCAGGGTCTGATCCAGAATATGTTCCATACCGAGAATCGATCGAAATACGTTTCAAGAATCTCCTGGACAGGGAACAACAATCGACACCTTGGACTTGATCCTGGCAACATGAACCGCAGGAATATAGATCCATTTCAATTCTGCATCCACATCTAGCAAGGCTGCGACATATCTTGGCAAGCCTGTTTTGACCGGAAGCCAGCACCCTCCTGCATGCGACCCGTTGAGAGTCCAACCGTCCTAACAGGTCCTAACCGAGCTGGGACATATTAGGGTTTCTTCGCAGCTGTCTTCTCACTCGAGTTGATGTCTACTTCACAAACGGGTGGTGTCAAAGGACGTGGGGGCTCGGATTGGCAGTGCTTGGATGGGACCATGGCCCCTTCCTTGTGGTAAGAATGGGGAGTAGTGCACCCGCAGGGTGAGCCGACCTCGTTCTGCTGTGAGAAGGTTGCTGAGTCGACCTCCTGAAATTTCGACATGCCTCGTCTCGTTAGTACAACCGACAGGACTCAGTCGAGCTGTGAACTGGGTGTCGAACATGAATCGCATGAAAGACTTCAGCAACTAAGTCGCTTCGTGGCTCCACAGAATCAATCTCCTGCTATAGTCTTTATCATTGCCACACTCCAACACCAATTGAGACCTGTTAGGGCCCTTCCCAACCCTCGAAAGGAGACCTGTTTTTCGTCGGGTGCTGGTGTTCCAAATCTTGTGACACTCTTACACTCTTAAACCGATCGAACACAAGTTGGATGTGCGCCAATGAGATGCCCAGAGCTCTTCTCTCTGTCTCCGACGACTCCGGTGGAGCGAACCTCACCACGGTACCCAGGATGGCGGACGACTCCGCCCCACCTCGGGCTCCAGTTCCAGCATGGTCTTGTGCCTCAAGCCTTGGAGGGCACTGCCCCATCCGTCCACAACACTTAGTCTCTCGACAACACGAAAGCGAGATCAAAACATGGCGGATGGGTGGGACCGGGCGCTGGTAAACGTGTCGTGCTTTTGTTTGAACCCGTGGAGTCCTTTCTTTCAGGTGCGCTCAGAAACTCCCACTCGCGACCCGCGGAACCTCCGAGTTGGCCTTCCTTGTCATTCATGGGTCCAAAATGAGTCTTATTAAAAGAATCATCTGTAATTTTCATTAATTTCCAGCAAATTGGACCCTTGGATCATGTTGGACCCTGAATGCAAGGAAAAAGCCTTCCAGGGAGGTTCGGAAAATAGACCCAAAACCCAAATGGTTGGGGATCTCACATCTTCACACACCACCTTTGACCGGGAAAGTGTAGAGCTGGGGGAGGGCGCATAGCATTCAGGGCGCCCAATTCGCAGAACAAGTTGAAAAAGAGCAGAACGTCTCTAAGCTGCCCTTAAGAAATAATTTCGATGAAACGGTACAAATTGAATAATTCCTAGTACTTTGGGCGAACTTGAGCCAATCCCGCATCAGTTCTTGTTTCCGTCCTCCGCCCAGCTGACGACTCCACCGATAGACACCTCCCAGAAACTTGAAATGTCATGATCTCCAATCTCCTAATCGATGAAGCAAATTTTATAACAATTTCTTCTTTGGGCAATTCGAGCTTTGTGCTTGATCTAGATATATATAATGTGCCCTGAACAATCTTTAGAGACGATCTTCATTCCTTGCCAAATCATGTGTCACTGAAATGGTGGTATGCATGGCATGATCTGCCTCAAGGGCTCAGGATACCACCTTACAGTCACCTTACACACCAGTGTCAACCAACATTCTCTTCCCCTTGACCATTACGTTTGGATCCTTTGAACGGGCCCACCCCCCAAAAAAGCGAACATATAAAATTATGGTTGCACAACATACTAATTACACATGTTCACAGTTAACACATGTTAACACCATCCAAAGATACATTGAACGCCTTCACCTTCTTTCGGTAGGTGGCCACCTCCTCTCCGCGACCTGGGTTGGCTGGCGTGCAGCGTCCAGCGCGTCGTTCACGCCCGAGGAGGACTCCATCTTCGCCTTTGGTCGATGGAACGGCGGTCACGGAGCTCGGTCAAGTGGGTTTGGGTCGGAGCCAGAGCCAGAGCCCCCGTTAACGGTGACCGTAGGTTGACCATGCCCGGTGCCATGACCCACAACCACCTTTGCGCCATGTGCGGACAGATTCCAGCCGCATGTGCGCACGGATCCGAGGAAAGCCGGGTCCATGCTTAAAGGACTTGGTTGCTGGAGCGTTCTGTGCTTTTGCGTGTAAAATCATCTTAAATGTTCTGAATGAAGGTCATTATAGGTTATTTGATTCCAGGGACCCCATGATAAACTATTACTGACCCGAAGCAAAGGGTTTGGGGGGGTATCAGTTTACCTCAATTCAGCCAAATTGGGTGATGCTCAGACATGCATCGGCCAAATTCAAACAGAGCTCATTCTCGATGAACAACACATGACGGACTTTGCAGGAAAAATAACGCGGGCCGGAATCGCGCCCGGAAGGAATCCACTTAACATCAGACTGCAGCGACGTAATGTTCTTAGTCAAAAAAATCATACAAACACTGTGAAATAATGAATTACTTAAGTAACACAGTGCACTGCACTGCAAAAGCACCTCATTGTTGTGCTAACTCAACCACTCTTTCTTCTACTTCAAAGTCACTGCATGAAGCCAAGCCAACCACCAACCGTATGGCAGCTACTTGTATGGCCAGCTATTGTACTTTTACGTTTATTGTGTATTTTTGTTTGACATGGTTTAACCCATCCAAGCTGTCCGAGTTTCAGATGCTCTTAAAAATATTTAAACATACACCACACGGAGCACCTCCAACCTGTGCACTTCTTCCCGCACGAAGGACTCGGACTGCGGCTCCTCGCTTCGCGGACCGCGCATCTTCACCCCGGTGGGTTCCAGGTCGCTGACGAGTCAGTGCCTTCACGGCTGACCGCACTCCGTAGCTCTTTCCCATATGGTTTCTCCATAGCTCTGAACTCCGAGCCGCTTCGTTCAACTCTCCGACCTGTTGGAGAGTAAAGAGGATGTTCGTGGGGTGTCCCCAATCCCCGCCCCCAAAAAGCTCAAGGGTCATCCACTGTTCGGTAGGAGGCCCTGTGGGGCCGTGACAGGCGAGAGCTCCCAAAGATTAACATATACCAAGACCATCTAAAACCCCAACCCAAATTATGAGTGGTCTCCCTATTAAAATACACGCTGGCATGAACCCAGGTTGAAAAGATCTCTGATAGGATCCATTCCCTCAATCCTTACGATGGGATGCCTTGACCCCAAAACATGCTTTCCAGGCCATCGCTAGGTTGGAGGCCATCGCTAGTAGAAACAAGGACGCTACGTTACTAGTGACAAGAAGCTATTAGGTTAGAGGCCTTACGTTGGTCTCGCCTCAAGTCGCAGCTCTGTGCCCAGTTCATTTTCGAGCGTAGGGAATTTGGACAGGGGAGTATAGCGGCCATGGTGAATAGCGGCCCACTAAAGAAAGGACATATACATCACATACATCCCCGAGATTGTAAACTTGGAAGTTGAAGGCTATATTATATACGTTGCAATTGCATATAAGACCTATTAATTGTGGAACTTCTCTATAATATCATTGTTTATGATATGTTATATGTTCCGCCTCAGATCTCGGCCTTGGGATGCAGGAGGATCTGATCGGCCGCTCGCTGGCCACTTGGCGCAGCAACCTGCGACAAGACTCATCACGACCCCCTGGGTTTGAGCATGTTTGCGCAGAATGAGGTGAGCACAGCCGACCACTTCTTTGGACTCATTTGTTTCTTCTTTTTGCCAAAAATAGTTAGTGATCCAGTGATCCTGAGTTAGGCCAGCTGCACTCACCATCTGTCATCCCTGTACTGTCCTATGAAAACACTGGCGTGCTCCTTGACCGATCCTCGCGCCGGTTTCGGGGGGGCGCCGACCACCAGAGCTCCAAACCGGAGCAGTGCGAATGGAAGATCGGCATGGCCACGATCGGAAGCGAAACACCTGGTCCTCTACGAGTGCTCCGTGCAGCAGCTAATGACTCCACGTTGGGCCATCGACAGACAACTGAGCTCAAGCTCAGTCATAGTCAAGGAATTATTGCCTAATTTTTACTCGAAATTAGGCCATATTAGGCCCATCATGTCCACAGCAGAAAAGGTCATGGGTGTGCCTCCACCGAGATTTGACCAAAGATTGCACACTCAAGTCACTGATGCAGCGCCAGTAAGAATAGGAGGCAAGGTTATGTTCAAGAGGCACCTGCTAGTGGACTATGAATTACCCTGGATCATGAAGATTGCCACTTTTACTCGGAAAAATCTTGGAGCTATACCTGTTGGTTGACATATCTGATATCGTTGGAGATTGGAATGCCACTAGTCAAGTAGAGACCACAAGCACCGCCAAGTAGAGACCGCGATGAGACTCACATCGGTCGATAGTGCCAGCTCCAAGGGTGTCGGCGATGGGACTCCACTGAGAGAGATGTCAGCAATGGGAAAATCCAGTGACACTCAGTGACTCTCTCAGGGAAAATCAAGATGCCGGTGAAAATCAAAAGTCACACTGGCAAAGCACATGAAAATAAATCTTCATCAAACGTCCGTGGATGTCCGTGGAGATAGACGGTAGGGAGGCTTGAGATAGGGGAGCAAAAGTGAAGCTTTCGATAGGTTGCATGTTGAATATGGCCAGCAACCGACGACGATCGCAACGAAGACGATCGAGGGCTGTGTGGTTTTCCAAGTGAAAAGCTCAGGACGTCGAGACACCAATATTCAAAGAGTGGAGTTGTCATGGAGTCATGGCCTAGCAGCTTAGCAGCTTAGCTTAGAATCTTGAGGCACTTCCCGGTTTCTTAATTAATTATGCATGCATGAGTGCATGGTGTCCGAACACCAGGACTTGCAAACACGAACAAGCTGCTGGTGTCAGCAAATCGCAATGCATACAAAACAAATGCCATGCCACAGCAAGCCCCGCCAGGACCTCAAGCTCCAAAGCGTGCAGGGCGGAAGACCCCGCAAGCCTGATGATGCTGAGGAGAGTCACTTCGAAGATGATGCCATGGCCGAAACCAAGCAGCCGCAAGCAGCATGTCGGCAATTAAACGGAATAAACCCCGTGCCTCTCCAGGGTGGGAACCAGCAAAAACTAGAGCATCAAAAGCAATCACACAATCACGGCATCGTGGACTGATGCACGCAAAAGTGATAGTATGTCCCAACCTGGCAATGAGCCTACCATAGTGCTGTCTGAGTGAGATGTTGGCAGTGGCAGTCCCATGTTGCTGTTACTATTCAGTATTCGTGCTCAGTGTGCAGATTGACACTTGCTGGCCGACTCGAGTTGTTGCCGAGGCTTCAGTTGCATCTGGCACTCGATCTTGATGGTCTCACAGATCCCAACAACACTGACCTCCTGACGCAACGGAGTGCACTCACCATGGCAGCTACTAATCGCGAACGGAGTGTGCCTCTTTGCGCAACACTGGATGAACGAACGATCACGATCAAGCAAATCTTTGGACCTCAAACAACAACTAAGACCGTAGAATTCAAACCAAACAATGAAAAGTCACCGTAGAAAGGCACGATTGTCTTCTTAAGGTCCTGATTACATAACGTAAGAAGGTCTGTCGGATAGGGGCACCCCCACCTCGCGAGCGAAACGCCGGGCGCGGGGCACCTCGGAGTCACTGCCACTGGGGGAATTTTCCTTGGACGCTCGAAGCCAGCTTGGTCGGGAATTGACTTAAAGGTTATGCACTGACTGGGTAGGGTAAAGCTTGGTGTTAGGTACTGAGTTCTGCCATGCTGTTTTCTTTGGGTTGGTTGGGTGGGTGGATGGGTGGGTATTTTTTGTTGTTATGGCGGTTATTGCTGTTGTTGTTAATGCTGCTGCTGCTGCTGCTGCTGCTTCGCACCTAAAAAAGGATGGCGACTCGCAAGACAGGGACGCACTCTCTCTCTCTCTCATTCGCATCACATGTTGCCACAACCTGGTCCACGAAGTCCTCATCATCCAAGCCCTCCAAACATAGAGGGGCGAGGTGTTGGTTTGAAACAAGCGGCAACCAAGTTGAAGGTGGAACACACCAGCGTCTTTCAGTAGATTTTAGGACCCTAGACTCTAGACCCCATTTTCGGAATCCCAAGTCCCACATCTTATCATGTTGTGCAGCAAGACACTTCCATCCGAGCAAATGGAACCTTTGCATTGTAACGTCAAAAAGATCGTCCAGAAGTCCATTGCGTGGAGCATTACAAGTGTTGCTAGCTGACCAAGTCGACTCTGTGAGCACCACCGGGCTGAAGATATCATCTTCTGTCTATGTTCATGGCCAGTCCCGGTTTTGAAGGGGTAATGACAATGAATCTGCCCAGATTCCGGAAGACTTAGCTACTTTTGGAAGGGGTGCTTTCAGTGCTTTCCTGTAGATTGTGGCAAAATGTGTCAAACAACGGCCAAGAAAATACATCCGACTACTAAATTTGAACTATGGCCATGTGACACCAGAATCTTTGTTGTCATGGTGTGTGGAACATGCAAACCCCAAAAGGCGCAGGATTCCGGTGTCCCGGAAAACTGAGTGTTGGAGATATGGTCCAGTCCAGCTGGTTGGGTTTTGTCCCATGCCCACATGACTATACCTTGAACTTGACCAGTAAGTGAGAATGAAACACATGGAACAGCCTCGAACATGTCCGGTTTGCCCCGGCTGGTGCAAGCCGCGGTTCCGCGACATGTCTCACCCCGTGTATTCACAAGAAACGTGTTTTTTTCCCATCTGCAAAATTCCATTCAATCAAGCGCGAAAAGAGGCGAGAAGAGGCGAAACGGCTAAGGCGTGAACGTCCAAACCAAGTAGACCTCCCGTGCGGCGCGTCCGGTGTGCAGCCCGCCCGCGTCGAATCGGTCTGGTGAATGTGTCTCCAAAAAAAATGAAACGTGGGACATTCGCGAGACAAGTGGTGTAGTATACAGTGTAGGCAAGGTGAAGTGAATGGAGCACCCAATGTTTGTCAGGATTGAGAGGCATGTGGTTCACTGCTGGTTTGAACAAACGAAACGCAATAAAGGACGAAACAAATAGGTTGGACCAAATTGACACTCGCTTGTATGTGCTACAAATGTCCACAAAAGAGTCCCTTTTCAAGGGACCTTATACATCACCTACCAGTGAATCAAACGTCACAAATGATTCCAGGATCATACACTTGGGGTACAATGAACTTATCTAAAGCAATGATACCACCATGAATGAGCACCTGCAAGCCAATGTCTGTTCACGTGCATCGCTTTTGGACCATGATGTGTGTGTGGGACCTTTGTTTTTGTGGTGTTGCTACTCCACCCTGCAAACACGATTGAAACTTAAAACAATGACAAATCAAAGGAATCACACCCGCACATGTGTTCACTCTCTAAACTACTTGGTCCAAAACATTGGCATGTTGATTCGAAGTTATAAGCTATCCTCATAATTCATCATATCATATCCCTCTTGGAATATGACTCCGGCGAAGGTGGCGTTGGTTCACCAGCTGCACTCCTCAAACATACCCAAACACTCGATGGAAGATTTACCTACATTACATTGTTCCCCATCTAGCAATCCTAAGTTTAGAAGCATGGAGCTCTTGGGATAGATCCTAGGAATCCTAAGCCTATATAGGTCATTTTTGCATGGAGTGCTTACTCATCAGCTCCGTCCTTTCCCTTTGGACCCTTTGCATCGCTCCGTCCTGAGAGTCGCTTCGCTTGCTCGCGTCGCGGCTCCGCGGCGCTGGCGCTGATGGCGCTGGCCCTGGAGGAAATGGACGGCATACCGTACCCAAACACTCCAACCAATCTAGAGACTAAAAGCTATGGCCTCCAACCCAAGAGTGATACCTATTAGCGATGGCCTCGGACTGGAAGATATGCCAACATTGGGGTGATTTCAAGGCCCGGATCCCTGAAATCACCACCCAACATCCGAGCTCCAATTCCAAGAAATCTTTTCTACCTGCTGGGTAGTTTCTGACTTCCGAGCTGTTTCCTGGATACAAAAAAAACAGGTGAACCCTTTTGCTCAGCTGTTCATTTTGAGTGGGGAACCCCATCCCCAATCCCCCCCCAATAAGGGTGACCTGGTGATGCTTTTTTCCGGGACGTTGGAGCTCAAAAGCCCACATGGATGAGGTGAACTGGGTAAAGTGGATCGACTCAGGTGCAGTCAGGGTTGCTTGGTTCATTGAGTTGGGGCTTGGTTGGTTCAAGGTACATGCAAACTGCAATGACGTGTGGAGTGCTGTGTATGTTAGATAATCTCAACATACAGGGCTTGGTTGACTTGGTACTTGCAACATGCAACAAGTGGTGTATGTTCTACTCCAAGAGAGTCTTGGCCTTCTGAACATATATATATATATATTTTGCTGTCTTTGACACACTCAAGAAAGGTTCACTGGTTGGATCCCACGCCCACCATGTGCGCGATTGAATTCAAACTATGAACAATTTAAGTAATTACTGTAGTGATAAGCGTTCACCCATCAGCACATCCACTGACTTCAGCAGTACATACTCTGAGGAATCAATTCCCCGGGCGCACAGACTGGACTTCAATCGTGATGAATTACCGAAACAAAAAGCACCTGGCCTCTCCAAAGCAGGTCCACTCCACACAATCAGTCCTCCATAACGTCATATAGGACGTCATAGGTTCAGAAAAAAGGGCACTCAGCACCATCCAGGGAATCCAGCCACCCAGCCAACCCCACTGAGCCGATCTGCCCGCCTCCGGGACGACCTCGCGGAGCTTCGCCGCGACGTGCGCCCAGCGCTGTCGCCTGAAGTGGAAAAGTAACTGACATATTGGCACCAGAGAGGCCGGCACGCCAGGCGTTAGCCCATTCTATTAATATTGTTATCGTGATTACTATTATATGCTATTATTATCAGCAGTACTTATATGATCTTATATGTGTACACGTATATATATATATATATATTATATGTATGGTGTAGTGCATTTAATGAATCCACCCTGAAAGCATATGTCCACAAAAACCGGATCATCCAGGTGACCGTGCCTGAGACCGCGGACGGTGCCATGGAGTCCTGGTTGGTCCCAAGGAGATTGATTCATCCACCGTCTACGTTAAGAAGAGGCTACTCCTCGTGGAAGACTTGTTTTCGAAATGCATCTGCAACGCACGTTTAGTGCTTTTTCTCAGGGTCCGTCTTAGTCTCCAAAGTAGGTCACAAACCGGAGCACAACTCCGCCCCACCTTGGTAAAGGCGGAGGATCTGCGACGACCTGAGTAACCATCCAGCTCTGACGTCATCCCCCCAAAAATAGCTTGTTGTCTGACCCCAAAGAACCCCAGTTACTTAAAAATTGCACCAGGACTTCTAACCATCAGCAATCTGGAAGTAGCTATAGTGGCAAGCGGATCCCCTGGCCTTAAAAGTAAGACGAAACCACCTGGACTTGCGAAGTCTGGACCAAAACACTGCTGAAAACGAAGTCGGAGCGTGCCGATTCTTTGGAAAGAGATGCCGATTCTTTCCAAAGAAAGCATTGTTCCTAGAAATGTCAAACCAAGCCACTTCTATGCAGTTAAGGTGACAGTCTAAGCAAAAGACTTCCTCCTTCTGTCCAATCATCTTCGTACTCCTGACGCCAATGCCGGAGCAGTACATCGCACATTTGGTGTGTGGCAATGCGTAAACAGTGTATATAATAGTACATCTGCCTGGACATGCGAGTTTTGATCAAGAATGGGCAATCCTGCCAAACCCACGGAAATCAAATGTGAGCAAAAGGTATGGTTTACAATGTTTTACCCCAGCATGATTGACTGATACCGCTTCTTTTTGAGCCAGTTCATGAATCGAACGTCATAACCCTAGCGACACAACCAATCCGCCAAGCCCAGGTTTTCTGGGCGCTGGAAAGTGTGGCGCTTGCTGGGCGAGCCGCCCGGAAAACCACAAGGGGGGGTGTGATTTCAACTCCTTTGGGGAAAAAGAATCACAAGGACGACTCTGTTTGTTGGTGAGTGAAGACAATGCATGTCTGATCATGTCAGTCTGGGTGTGGCTTGGGGTTGTGGTTGTAGTGGTTGTTGTCGTCTTTGTTGTTCTAGGCACCTTTTCTCGCCTTGGGCTTCTGTCAGAAGCTCCGGGCAAGGTCCTGACCCGCAATCAGCCCTAAAACATCTTAAGAAGCTGTTTCAGAGGTTTTCAGCAAATAAATTAACGGTCTTAGGAATCTTAGGTTGTGATACTGAACATGCAGGTGATACTTCAGTCGACGTGTGCTGAATTCAAGGAGGACCTTTGGTCTTCGGCTGCGCGTCCTCTTCTTCTTCTTCCTCCTCCTCTTCCTCGTCTGCTTCTTCCTCGCGAGCATCTACTCTCACACTTGCTCGAATGAAGAACCTAATAGGAGGCCAACCAAACACGCAGCTGTTTGGGAATCAAAAGGTAGCTTCCCATTCTCGACATTCCTGGTTGTCTGAACAAAAAGAATGGCACTGATGGGCATGGTGTTGCTTTGTACAAAGCGTGGGAATGTGGTTCTGGAGGCCCTACGGCTTCTTCATAAAGGTTTGTTGTCGTCAGATTCTCTGCGTGGCGCATGCCAGATTCTGCAATCTATATGCCTACATCTTCCTTGGTATGTTTAATTTGTATTTGGTTGTTCTTGGGGCAAGCGGCAGAAATGCCTGTAGTGCGGCACGTTTTGGATTGTGGAGAGAATGGAGGAAATGAACAACAACGCCACTTCCCCTCACAAAAAGGAACACACACAGGCGTAACATGACGCCAAAACGCAACCGAAACCTCACGAGTTTGTTGAAACACTAGTGACAGTGAAGTTGCTAAGTTCCTAAAGTCATGGCGAGTTCCAACTTGGCAGACAAACCCATGAAGTGGCAGTGTTTTTTCTCAGAAGGGGACTAAAAGTGACTGAAACACACTAAAACTATACATCAAGCGATGTACAAAATTAGTTGAATTTCACAGAACGACAACAACCCTTTACAGCCTGGGTGTCTTAGGTATAAGTTATATGAACAAAAGGTCTATACACGAGAGATGGATACACTCAGCATACCTATGGTTGCTCATTGCTCGTCAGTCCAATCGAAGGTCCTCTGGGGAACAATGCCGCCCTGAAACAGTCCACTGAATCAACATAAGCAACCGACAGCAGCCAACTAGAACCGAGGGCTTAACGAAATCCTTCATGTTTCTTTCAGTTGAAGGTGGGACTTTCAATTCTAATATTTGTTCCCTTGGTTCCGGGGGGGGGCCCTGAGGTTGTGGAGAATCAATCCTGCTTCGAACTTAGAACCCCCTGACTGCCGTGACCAACGAAAGGATTTGGGTAAAGTTCCCAACAGGTGGCTTCACGGGGCTAGTAGCTCCATTTGGTCCACTGGTGGGGTCAAAAAATATACAACATATCCTTTTCGGACACTTCTGTCTTCAATGAAAAGAGTTGTCGTGAGGAGTGCAACCAACCAGTATTCACTAGTTATAGTACTTTAGAAGCCTTCTATGTATATATATATATATGTAATTTTTTGCAACGGATTCGACCAAATGAACAAAAGCATGTACTGAATACATGTGCCACCCAAGTGGATGTTCACGGCTTGTGAAGCCAAGTCTCTCATTCAGGGTATCTTGTATTTGAGCTTGCCAAATCTCATGACCTACCTGACGTATAGGGTCGCATGACCCCAGTGGTTGTATTGCGCTGTATCATGTTGTTCAGGTTGACAATCCACTTGTGGGCAGCTTGGGGTGGATGAAAGGAAACTGATGTGAGAGGCGGTACCGGTCTGCTGTCTCAGAATCACCACAGAAGGCACATCACAAACACTACCGGTTACCGGTGGAGTTCCAGCGCTCGTGGCTGCAGAACGAACGGACAGAAAGCGAAGCCAGCGCTCGGTTCACGGAGGAGCTACAACTCACTGAATGGGACGAGCTACGTCACCAGCGAACTGCTGGTCACCTGCTTCCACTCCTTCCACTCCTTGGGTAAAGGCTGGTCGTCCTGTGCTCGTCCTGGACTGCTTTGGAAGACCCAATGGTCGCCACACTCCACTCAAGCTCGCCACATCGACCATGGATCCACCAACAGTCGCCGATGCCACTGGGATGAATCAAGCTTCGGTTTTCTTGGCTTTCTGTACGACCTTTCAAGAATCAATTAGCAGCTAAGAATGGACTATTGCTTAGAAGTTTAATGCACATGCTTAGCAGTCTTTCCTGGATGGTCCTGCAAGCAAGCTTGTCTTCGTCAAAATGTTGATTCCTCCTGACAGGCCCTTGAAGAGTGTAGCGTCACAATCTTGCAAACATATGATTGAACCTGGGGATGCCACCGCATTAGGGTGTCTTTAAGACAAGTCTGCTTGGCCAACATGTTCAACGGAATCCTTGAGATGTACCGTTCTTCAAACTTTCTTCACGAACCTGACGGTGAAGGGATCACCGGGCTCGGCGGGTCGCGACACAGAAAAGGGCCCCCTTCTTGACCGGTCGCACCAAAAGCGAGGCGTCGTGGTCTCTGGAGAAGCGACGCGCCGCTGGTACCGCATGGTACCTTTCAGAATCACTGTACATTCACGGCTGCTCCAGCTGCAGTCAGAACTTCTCTTCGTGAATGGTGAACAACAAAACACATCACGTACTATATATTTATAGAGATATTGTACATCATATACTGAAAAGTTCTCCAGTTCTCACATAAAGATTCCGGCAACACTCAAGTCTTGCACACCTTCTCCCACTCTCCCAGTCCTCTTCTGAGTGGACGGCAGCAGGCCCCGTGGCACCCGACTGTTTCAGCTTGGTACTTGGGCCATCACTTTCCTCACTGAGCTCTGCCAAGAGCTGCGCCACCTCCGTGTTGTGTGTTGTTGTTTCTTATCTGCGTGGAAAGGGAACTCCAGGATGAGACGGTGCAAGGTGGTGACTGAGAGTTCATCTTCTGATAGAATTCTTCCGAACAGCACAGTTGCCATGGAAATACATATATATATATATATAGATGCTTCAAGCTTCACATCTACTGTGGATCAGCAACTGGTAGCCCAGGAAATGCTGAAAACCCCACAAATAAGGCAACATGGGGCCCATGGATTTAATGTTCTTGCTGCGTTTGCCGCACAGCCAAGTGGTTGAAGACACAACCTGAAGTCTCCAGGTGAAACTTCAGTTGCTCAATTACATGAAACATCGTGAGACTAGCCCATTGGACGAAACAAGTCTCAACGACTCAACTTACTCCTGGCCAATCGAACGTCTCAACTACCCTATTGGACCTAAAGCATCGAGCGCTTCCGATGATCGGACAAGGTGAGTGTTTCTGACATCGGGGACGATTTGGGGGCTTATGGGGTTCTTTCACAAGCAACTCGCCCCTTTTGGTCCTTTTGGGGGATGATTTGAGCCCAAATGGTGCGAAGAGGGAGACCTTGGTTGACCCATCAGGGTTTTGAACTTCCAGGTTTTGACCACCCAAATCATGAAACACATCTGGACCGAACGCACTGAGCTCCGAACGTCAAAGTCTGAGTTGCCGCTGTTCGTCCGCGTTGCACCGGGCATCTTTGGCCCGACTCATGCGGGGCCCCAGCCTGGCTAGTGGTGTAGCTGGCTTCCCACGCCCATCAGGAGATGGCGCTAGAAAAAAAAAAAAAAAACACAAACAGGAAAGAGCCACACTCTTCACTGCAGATGTCATTCCTCTGACACATGACATTGGGTGTGCAGAATAGGGGACCCCTCAAAGACCTTTGGAAAAAGCAAGAGCAAATCAATTCGGCCAGTGACCGTAACATACAAAACCACATGAAGGTTTTCGCTTTGGCCCTCTACACCTCCAAAACACGACGGTGTTTCTTTTCATGGGTGTGTATTTGAATGGGGGGACCTCCCAACCCACGGATTTCGTCTGATTTCGAAATGAGGTTCCCTATGAGGAAACCGCACCCATAGGAAGATCAGTCGCTCGGCCCGCCCCGGCGTGTTGGTGTCACACCGAGATCAAAGCAGCGATCTCGGTGGCTGAAGGCAAACGAAGAGTAGCCTTTGAGCCATTTGGGGTTTGCCTGGAAAACAATAGGCAACAACACACTACTCAAAATGGATACACCAAAAAGGAAAACAACGTATTATTAACACAGGCGTAGTTTTGGTAGTCTTCACTGGTTGATGGTCAAACCACTGAGTCTTGCTCAATTCTCTGCTGCTACATTACTATAGTGATGTAGTCCTTCTCCCATCCCCTTGATCATCAGCACTTGTCTATGCGATCTCCAAACTCGTTGGTCGGCTCCGCTTTCCAACCCGACCGAAACTGACCGAACTGGGATCCGCCGGATCCCCTGGAGCTCCAGACAGCGCCAGCCACGGGAAGCTTCGGTTTTGATGGGTTTGTTTTCAGGGAAGCTTTCGGATGGGATGCCTTTTTGGGGGGGAGGAAAACCCCGTGTTTCACTGGAGATACACGGCATGCCTGGGCATGAAAACAGTGCTAGATGGAGAATTCTACTCATTGATTTCACAAGCTGCAACTGGTGTTTTTGTTATTTTTGCTCAGGCTGTTGGTAGTGTACAACTTGTTCCCGGCAGATTCTGCAGAATCCCTTTGCTCATTTGCATCTGATTTCTGTCGAGGGATTTCTATGAGGAAAATTATGCGTCATCGATGGGAGAACCATTCTGCCTCTGATTTGAGCCTCCGGACCCAAGCTTCGAGCCCCACGAATGGCGATCTACAAGTGTGGAATCCCAAAGGAATACCCAAAGCCCAAGGTTTTTTTGCCAAGTATCCAACCCAAATATCCAACTCACTAGAGCTTGTTCAACTATAGCTATTCGGCGTAGACAGTCAGGACATGAGAATTAATCAGCTGTTCATGACATGTGCGGAATCAAGCTGGTAGTTGGAAGTTGGAAAAAGAGTTCCATAGAATGAAGTCAGATATTGCAAGACATGGTACAGTAAGACCTTCGGTACATCCCATTACCAGGGCCCAGTGGATGATGATGGCTAGGATGCAAACCTTTCCCCAAAAAAAGGTTGCATCATCTTTTATCCGTTTTATCGACTGTTCCTGGTCTACTGGGGACGCACCCTAGCAACGCGAGTAAGACGCTTTTCACCCGAACATGAACACACCGCCTACACCGACACATATGAACCCCCAGCGTGACTTTGGGAGTCTTTGCTCCAGTCTGTGGGTTCAAGGGAGGGGATGTTGAGCCAGTCTCACCAGTTGCCCTTCTCGATCCGAAGAGAACACTCCGAAGAGAACACCCTTAGCATTTCATGCAAGAAGAACAAACTGGTTGCAGAGCTTTCTTTTGCAGCCGCTGAACAAATTGTCTCAATTCCATGTCTCAACTCCCGCTCTCCCCGCATCGACATGTCCTGCACTATGCCGAAGACATGCACTCTTTGCATGTTGGCCGAATTTAGGACCGCTACTTCGATCACGTGAAACTTGGGATCACCTGCCACGCGAAACCGACGTCACCCGAGAGCAGTTTTTCATCCGACATCCGATGATCAATCAGTCCCTACTCAAGGAGACTGCATGGGCACAGTGTTTCTAGACGACTTCACACCAGCCCAGGCGACTTAAACCACCTACCTAGTAAAGGACCAGGTTTTACTGGGTCTTTGGACTTGCGGGGAGTTGGGGGCTTGTCTTTGCCACGGCACCCGAATTGAGAGAAGTCATTGTTCCACTAAATGGGTTCGGCGCGGCACTAGCCCCAACCAGTGAGGAAAGAACATAATCCGTGTGAACTTCCAATCGACCGACTTTAATTGGTAATGCTTCTTATGTGTTAGACAATCACTACCATTGACCATTGACAGAAGAACCAATTGAACTGGCTGAAGGTTTCAGTTCGGCAACACATGACAATCACACTTGAAAATTACTCCCGGGGAGTGAAGATTGCTTCCCCAAGTAAATATATCACATTGTGCTGGTTAGTTCAAGGACACATGCATCAACTGAAGCCCTCCGCTTGTTCCTTTCACAGCCATTCAACTCATGGGGCCCGAACGTTGGAGGGTTCGGATGTCTCGTGCCGATGTCTGGTGCAGAGCACACCGACGGTCGACCGGCGTGGACCTGTGACTGTCATCCGTGAAAGACCATGAGGTTTGACGAACCGCAACAATCGATCCAATCCCAAACCTATCCAAACCTTTAAGCCGACTCTATGCCCCTAAAGGTCCCTAGAGCCAGTTATGGGAACCAATCGAAGCTAACATGTATCACTGAGACCGAAATGCACAAACATGGCAGCACACCGGGTTTACACCACCCTTAGGAGTCGTGAGTTTGTGAAGAACAAGAACAACATTTGGAATCACCTCAATATGTGCATCGAAAGCAGGTTTCTCTATAGATAGTGCATATCTGTATCATTCTGTATCATTTTATGATATACTGGGATGTCCCTGGTACTCTCCCCCAAAAGGGAAAACACCAGCTGTTAGGTATTCAGAAAAATGCTCATCCGAAACCGGGGTCATGCCATCCACTGGCAACCGTCCGGGCGACGGTTGCCCTGTCCCCGACCGGAGGTCATCGGAGTCACCGACCGGGTGCCTTTCACAACCGAAACCCACATGGTCGCAGCACCACTTCTTCCGACTGGAAGACCTGGCAGCCAAATCATGCTGTAGATCACCCGCCTTGATGAAACAATATGATTTGGCCACTGTTTTTCAGGAAACACCTGGCTGTGGAACACCTGGTCGTTGTGTTCCTTTCATATGTTTTTCATGTTCCTGCAAAACCCGTGTGCTCACAAGATACCGCTCATCGGAACTCCGACCGCGCAAAGAACTCGCTGCCAAGAGTCTTTGTTTGGAGTTTATAACCTTTTGGACGGAAAAAAAACAGGTATCCAGAGTCTGCTCTTTTCAACAATTGTTGTCCAGGTGACACAGGGTGACACAAGGTGCCCTGTGCAGTTGATCGAATCGGGACCTTTGATATCCGGGTTTGGTGACATGTCATGAAGGATACGCACTGCATATTCATCGCTAGTGCTGCTGCATGGCTGCTTGTCAGTGGCCCTGAGCTACACCCAGCTAAGCTGCTTGTCAACCATGGAAGCTGTCACTGAAAGATTGGAGCTGGACATATTACATATTGGTATTGATTGGCTTGGGGCTTGGTGGGCACCAGGTGATCAAATCCACTTACCACTGCAAATATTTATGTGATGTTATATATAAATGCCTTTCCGAGCTATAGGTTCTTAGTCGTTGCGACCAGTCAAGACTTAGGGTAGTTGCTGCCAACAGAAATCCAGAAAAGGGCCTGGCATACCGAAACGATCATATCTAACACCCCGCGATCAACGGAACTTCTGAGACACACCTTCTCAGGTCTGTGGATCTCCGGGGCACTATATATATATATATCATATCATAGATAACACCACCAATGATGTATTTTTGATAACAATAGAGGGGTCGACTCACCCTGGAGTGTTCTTTCATCAAGGCTGTCAAAGACAGGCCATCCAATGGGTCTATGAACCAAGGCTGCATGGATCCCACTTCTGAGTGCAGAACCAATGGGTCTTCCAGTGCAACATGTCTTCGCCTGGTCCGGTGAAGACGGCGTGGCCGGTTTCAACAAAGGATGAAACCAAAGATTTCAAGAAAAAGAATAAACATTTTAGTCTGATCAAGACTAGCTCCTGACTCTTGATTGAATCCTTCGTTGGTGTTTCTCAAAATCCAAGCAAGCCTTTCGGAAGCTTGATCGACCTGGCAGAATGCCCTGGAACTTGCAAAGCATTCGAACACCTGTATTGTATCTTGTCTTTGTCGGTCATTGTCTTTGTCTGTGATTTCGTGCTTCACACATCATCCGCACAAATCTCCTGGAGACTAACATGGCTCAGAAACTAAAGTTCACGTCGATTACTTGCGAATGACATATCTTCTATTGTGGATTGGAGTTTGGAACCCACACCTACACCCCCAAAGAAAAAGAACTCGTTGCGGCAGCGATTCTTACATTCGCCGCAACATTGTGTCCTCCGGGCTTTAGGCGCATTTAGCATCAAGACTTGCCCTGCGGGGCACCCAGCAAATGATGATTGTCTAGCAAATTATGAAAAAGGTAATGGGGATTCATGAATTAAGGGAACAATCTTGTGACCCTCAAGTTGATGGCTGACTAAGGCTCCAGCGGCAGTCATGCTCGCATCCACGATTCTTATGCCTAGCGCATTCGAAAGAGGCTCCAAATGCTCTCGTTCAAGTCGCCAAGCCTACGTGTGTTGAACAGGACCAAACTAAGAAGCCAGGCTCGAGACATCTTGAGACCCGAAAAAAGCCACCTTTCGGGAAGCAAAGTGCTCTTCAGTCATTCAACAAAGATGTCATCAAGAGCCAGCACTCCCGCAACAGTAATGCATCGATGCGTCGATGACGGCAAGAAAAAGCCCGACCGGCCTACCTCACTGCCCTGCGAAACCCGCAGGTGACGGTCCATTCTCATAGATTTGCTGAGAAAACATACAGTACTCCTTCACCAATTGAGTACAAAGCAGCCCCCCAAGCGTTGCCGCCAAACAATTACGGTGATTTCAACCTGCAGTTTTTGTTTTGCAAATATCTACTGTAACCAAAAGACCTGTTGTCCATTGACTGGTAGATGCAAGTACTTGAGACTTCGAAGACCAATCTGGTCTAAAATCCTTGATGGGTCACCAGTGACACATGTGATCCATGTGATCAGGACCCCATTTCCATACATAAATCAAGCTATTTACAACCATATCTGACTTAACCAGCTCTTACTGGGTCAGACTGTACTGCTTTTTAGAGTTGAACGTCAGAAACAACCTTGGATGAGATCTTTTTGTTCACCTCTTTCAAACAACGGGCGTGGCCTTTTCCTAACAAACCCTTTCACCCATACAGACTTGTGCCCTCCACTCGGTGATCAGTGAACGTTGAGAAGTTGAGTAGGGCCTACAACACCCCCCCGAGTTTGGACCAGCCAACTGACCCTCCGCGTGGACCGTCGCCTAAGGCGACAGTCCGTGTGCCGCGGCGAACGGTGTCTACCCGCACATCGGTACCTGCAGCACCAGTCCGTCTTGTCATCGGACCAGGCATGTCGCCAGTTGGAATAGCCGTGGCCTGGTCGCAATCACAGTGGAGCATCTCCATGGCTGGTCGAATAAACAAACCATTATTGTCCAGCGATGTCATGTCCTGACCCCCAAGCCGGAAATTCCTGGAATAGAAAAGGTTATGGGACAAGATTCCACTGTTTCCTTCTTAGTCGGGTTCTCCCCAAGCCCCACCCCCCAAGAAAGGGGGGTTTGCATGTGATCCACTTCTCCTGGGTACGGTAGATGTATCTTTTGGATGCGCAACACCGGGAAAATCCTTTCGGCGCCTGCCCTTCATCGTGCCCCTCAGGTCCACCCATGGCGAAACTTACCGACTTGGATCTGCTTAAGGAGCCGTCAAAAAGAACAAAAGACATGTTCCCCAAAGGCCCAGAAGGGGAGTCACCTTCACCCAGTTCGGGAAAATAAACATAACATTTAAGCAACGCCAGAATAAGGAGAGCAGATGAAAAGGTGAATTGTGAGTTTCAAGGCAAGCAACGCACAAAGAAAGACTTGAATGGCATGCTAAAACCTGCCAAATTCCAAATGACCAAATACGGGTCGGTCACCAACAAACCGATTCTTGGTGTTCACATGCTTTCTTGCTGCAATTTCGAGGTTCCACTGTGCTCACCCTGTTACCTTCAAGTAACTCCGCGTGGCCCTGGGTCCAGTCGATCCGCTGGGCTCCGGCTGCAATCGTAGCTCTCATGACTCGCACAGCCCACTTGCTCTTGCTTGCAGCACCAGTCCTGGCTCTGGACCTACAAAACACGCACCCCGGGGCCGACGGTAGTTTTTAAAGGGATGACGGCAGGGCAGGGACATTTAGGGACTATGATTTGATGAAAGACACTCATGACATACATATGATGGTGCTTTTTGCTCTTTTTTGTTGGATTTTTCCTGTTTCCTCTTTGTCCCTACCACATCAGGTGATTTGGGGTTGGACCCCCCCATCTTTCGAATACCGTACAGTTGCCGCAAATGGAAAATATCCTATGAGACAGGTGCTATTTGCCAAAACTAGCATGGCGACTCGTAGCGCCGGCTTTACTTTCCAAACCTCCTTCTTGCATTGCTGCATTTGTCTAGGCAAGTGTAAGTTCTCCCTACCTACAACTACGAGGATACTCAAGGTGGAGCTGTGGGTCTACTGTGCATGTAGATGTGCTGCAAGGCTCAGTGAAAGCTTTGATTCCCTCCCTCCCTCTCCTTCGGGCTCGACAGATTCAGGCCCATCCAGTTTGGGGCTAGTAAGCACTACCTCAGTCCAAGCTAGACATCGGAAAACATTTTCCTCAATGATCTCAAAAGTTTGCGGGCTGGACGACTCCAGGATGACTAAGCTCCCATTTTCTGCAAAACGGTTATCACTGAACACCTGCATGACTGTGCATGTGACATATCTTGGGTAGGTCCACCACAAGTTACAGTGAGGACGGCTAGTAAGAGCCCAACGTCTTAAAAGTCTGACACGACATGTTTGTTCGCACAAGGACAGTGAAAAAACGGAGCGTTCACGCGACGGGACGACGCTAGACGAAGATGCTATACAAGCCCTCAATATGTCTCCAATAAAATAGGAGTTCGTATAGCTGAACTTCCATTTCTAGGAGTTCTCCAATATCTTCAGAATATTCAGAATAGGAGTTCTTTCTGACCATTTCTTGCTGAAGAAAGAATTAACTTAATCGCCGCTCCTTCTTGTCACCTGCCCACTCCTCATGCAAGCCATCACCTCGGAGATGTTCTCATCGAGGTGGTGTTCGGAAAAAAAGAGGTTGATTATGGTTGATTCCATGATGAGAATCCGATGTCATGGGAAGCCAAACATGGGTCATCGGTAGCAACAAAGTGTGGGTTTAGCTTGATATCCACATATGTGCATCATATATTTTACTTCTGAACTTGCCACATCCATGAACGAGGGCTGCCCAAAAACTCACAAACACGAGAATGGGGTAAGGTTCCATGCATAATAACACATCATAACACATCATAACTAAATTGGGAAAGGTTCCCCTTCACTTCTCTCAAAGGACTTTATAAGTATGTTTAGGATTGTTTAGGACAATTTAGGTCATGTTCAACTGCATGAAATCCCCCAAAAGAACAAACAAATCTGTCCTGGCTGCACCCTCGTCCGGTTTCCCTCCTCCGGCGCCCGGACTGCAATCGAAGCCTGGGAACGGGATCGTTCGGATTCGAACCGAGCTGCCGGCGCTGCCGGCGCTGCCGAGCACGTGGTGCAGCCGCTTTTCTGTTTCGACCAATCCCCTGACCACTGGAATGACCCATATAAGACATTGTAAGATAGTAACAAGAAGTTTTAGTGTGTTGCTTTGAGAGTCCATGTTCAACGCATATAAAAGGCAAATAGCTTGAACAACACCAGGGAACAACTTTTCCGTGCAAATGGACATGCAGGCAACCACATTCTGTAAACTGTTGCAAATAATTTGACATGAACCTATAGCAACTCGCTTGATCTAGTGCCTACCAACCCCAGGGTTCCAAACATCGACAGCAGTGCCCAGGGTTCAGCGCCCCTGAGCTGCCCCACGTGGCAACGGACTCCCTGGGCATCCCTTGCCCTTGTGCCGACAGCACCAAGCCTCGTGGGATCGACGCGATCGACGAAAAACGCCGAGAGCGAGCGAAAGCGAGCTCGGTGCGGGATTGGGAGGTTGCGAAGTGATCGCATCGCCCAAAACCATCCCCAGTTGAAGGTAGCGATGCACTTAGCTGCGTTCGTAGCGATTGACCTTGTCACTAAGCCCCAGTTTCGGACTGGATGAAGTGGTGGAGTACCTGGACCTGAAGGGCACAGGTGGAGACGAGAACACTGTGCTTGGCGCTGCAAGAGCGAAGGCAAATTCAGTGAATCCAAATCTCAACCAAAACTGACTGGATACAACTGGGTATACATGGGTATACAGAGGAAATTTGTCCGCTCCAAGTGATGCAAAACGATCCTCCAAGGGCAAATTCTCGAACTGCACCAAACACTCCTCAATTCTGTTCTATAATTCTGTGGTATACAGGTCTACTCAGTATATATATATATAGATGACTCGCTGCTTACTTCGGAAGTTGCCTTGCCCAAAAACCGGTTCCCTCTCCGCTCCCACAGACTCCCGGGTCGACGTGTTGATCTGGGCCTTTTGGTCCTCGGACCAGCTGTCACGATGCAGCAAAGCACCTCGGAAAGCTCGGAACACGTCCCCGGACCTGGTCTGGCCTTGGAATCTTCTAGAAACCTCAAGTGGTTGGATCATGTTGGGTACTTCATCGTCGTTCCATCCTTAGATGGATCCAATTAAGCTAACTACTCCGTCATAGTGTTTGAATTTGACCTTGAGAATTGGTTGTCAAGTTGTCCACCATGAACTGAGTGCAAACTGCCTTCAAAGCTGGTGTACTTGAACAACAAAACAACAAGGTGAAATCCTATTGATATTTTTCCAGCTGGAAATTGATGACATCATGTGAAATCCAATCAAATCCGATGAACAAGTCTGCTTGTTATATATATATATACACAGTATATATACTGTATACTGTGTATATATAAATATACAGTATATGGCTGGATTTGACATTGAGCTCCAGCACTGCAATCATAATCACAGCCTCGATCATAGTGATGACAGCACCACTTCTGGCGCAGTCGAATTGAGACACGCGGATTTTCAGGACGTCACAAAAGACCTGGAGCTCAACTCCAGATTATAAACCATAAATATATGATTCTCAAACACTCCATGTTGGTATGTAATCTGCATTCACCACCAACCTACAAAAATATATCAAAAACAATTCATAAACATATATATATAGTTATATATGTACTACATGTACTGTACATACATGTCATATACCCTTACATGACTATTGTTGTTTATGTTCGCATACATGAAGTCTTTCGGACTTGTTTCAGGGTCCATGTTTCAAGTATCGCTGACTAACCCTGGCGACCAACCGTGGGTACCGTGGGTCGCAAAGCCGGATGTCTATTTTCTCTGTCGACATTCTCTCCGATCGCGGTACCAACCGGAGGGATGTCTGCTCGGTCGATCTCTTTGGATGCCGTTCTCATGGGTCGGAAAGGTCGGTGGTCTTAAGTTTGGTGAAACAGCGCCGGAAACAACGACACCTCAGTTTGGTGAATTATATAGTCCTCAATTTGCTGGATCTCCTACACCAAACACAAAGAACATGGCTTGGATCCAATGTTTAATTCAATATGTAATATGTTGATCAAAACAAACAACTACCTCAGAGAGATTTGAGCTGATCGTCCACATTTGGTAAACCTAGGGACTTAGATTGTGGACTAATCTTTGAATCTCCATCGACAGGTCGGAAGTTTGCGTGTGGATTCCTTCCCCAAGTTCCTGCCTTCTTCCCCGAGGACCAGTGACTTTCCCAGTTTGCTAGGCCAATGCCTTGGCGAGGTCCAGATCGAGGTGTGCTTGGGGTCAGGCGGACAGGGTTGTGGATGGTAACATTCACGAGTAGGGTGCACCTACCACAAGCTCCAATGACTGTGTTTGCTCGTGTTCAACTGGAACTTTAACAAAACGGGATCAAAATTGACTTGCCAGCTCAATGTTGAATCCATCAGTCAGTGCAATGGCCAGGGACTTCTCATTGTTGACTGCAATGGAGAAGGCCACTTGGACAGCCAGAATTGGCTCCGCAAACCACCATCAGTACGTTTTTGTTCATTCGCTCTGCACACAATAATACAATAGGCCTCTTGCTACAATCATAGTCGTCCTCCTTGTCGGGACAACCGATCTTCTGATGAATACAGCACCAGGCCTCGACGTGTGATGGTTTCAAACGACGTCTGAGCTGTCCAGGGGAGCCATCGAACATATGTGGAAGGAGTGGGAAGTATATAATTATATAATTACATATTTGATAAACATATTTGAGGGGGGTGGTCAATTTGGTCAACGTCAACCCAAATCCCTTTGAACAAGTTTTACCCAAAATCAGCAGCAGGCGTTGGATTCTCGAACAAACTAAGCTCTCTGTGTCTATGTCACTACACCGGAATCACTCGCAAGGGGCAATACACATGACAAACGGCAAAACATTGTACAATTACATTTGGCGTACAGGGGGGTCTATAATGGTCCATACATGTGTCAGGAGCCCCTTTGCCAGAATCATTGCTGTGCCTCGTCTATTCGTGGGACATGAGTATCTTTTCGAGCATCCGTGAGCAAGTCCGCCCGTGCGGTGGAGATGGACTGCAGCCCATCTCAAATCTCCCACTTCCACCCCACACTTTCTATCGGGCTCCTCCGACAAAAATGCAGCCATCCCTGGGCCATCCCTAGAAAGGGCTCGAAAAAGTGGTGAACAACAAGATAAACCAGGTACAACAAGTACTCACTTTGTCACTTAGATCAAATCCGCGTCCCTGTCTCGTCTGTTCGACCGACTGGAACGAAGCAGACTGCATGGTGGTCACAGGTACATCATGGCCTTCTTTCGAGGGCTCCAAGAGACATGCTCAAGGCCTCAGATATCCAATGAGGGATTTGTGGTATGAAAAGCGCACAAGAAACACACGTTCATCATTCCTACCTATGCCTCCTTTGTTTGGATACTGCTTTGCTTTGCTCATCAAAGTGCTCTCGAAATCAAAGCAGAACTGAGCAACACACTGCAGTCGAAGGGGTTGCCACTCTTCGCATGAGTTCCAACAGCACTTTGTGCATGATGTCCGTGTGTTGCTTCACACGCGATGTGGTACTTATCACAACACCAAGCCTGGCCAAGCGCACCGTGGTCCACCGCTTTTGGGACATCCCTAAATGCCACAAAGGGTGAACTGCGCTTGGCTATGTTTAGAGATATATATATATACAGGACTGTACAGGTACTGGCACCCATGTCACCGTGACAGTGTCACCCACAAATGAATATTGGAGTATTCTGCAGGTGGTTGAGGTCTTCTCGGATGCGTTTGTGTCTGATTTTTCGACATCGGGTGGGCCGGTGCCCGGCACGCGCACGGCAACGCCTTCTTGCTGCTGGACCATCCTTCCCTCCACTTCTTCACCCCAGCGCCTGAAAGCGAGAAGACTGAAGAAAACCCAAAGCTTTTGGCGAGTCACATTGGCATCATTGCATACATGAAATGTCCGCAAACCAGCACTTCTCAGATACCCCCTCACCATCCTGTAGCGGCATTGGATTAAGAAGGGCAACATCACCTTTGGACCTGATGCACTATATTTTTTTTGGCATGTGTTGTCCGTCTCTGCTGACTTACAAGGGCATTCTAGGATCTAGAGTCTAGAATGTAAACGCTGCAGTCACTTGGCACAGCTTGTCTTAGATGGCTCTGCCACACAAGGTTTTCCTTCATCCCCCAAAGGCCAAAGCGTTCATTTATCCTGTTGGAACTGACGAAGGGCTGACGAAGGGCTGTGTGAGCATGTCACCTGAGGACCGAGCTGCAATCGAAAGAGTCTTCTTTCTTTTGACTTCCGAGCGTGGCATGTACTTCTCTTTTTGCTTCGCAACCAATCTGGTAGTGGTCGCAACACCAAGCCTTGCCGGAAGAATTGGGTCATGTCACCTGCAACTATGTCTTGTGTCACTTGGCGAGTGCCTACTCCTTGTTGGTTGAAGAAATGGTTCGGCTAGACCTGTGCCTGTGCAAACGAGAACAACATAGCTATAATGTTTTGGCAAGCCAGCCAATCTGGATCAAGAGAGCAAGTCTATATCTTCGAATACATTTCTGTGTGCGTGGTGCTTCAAATAGGATGTGTTGTTGTCCAGAAGTGTTTAATCCAGCCTTTTGATGGTCTGTCCACTTGTCAACATCTGCACCTCAGCAAGGTGTACGCTGAGTGGCTGTATCAAAATGTAGCGACCGCCTTGAATTGAAGAACATGCTTCTTCCGGGCGGTAAAAGACTTGAATTGCTGTCCCGTGCATCAGAAACAACTACTGCAAGCACAACGTACCAGCAAACTGGTCTAAACTTGTCTCCTCCAAAGGGTTCGTCTGCCGCAATGGATGTTGCAATTTAACTGAGAAATGCACTGCAGTCGAAGGCGTGTGCGCTCTTCGCATGACTTCGAACTGAGTGTGAGTGGGTTGCTTCGCAAGCGATGTGGTAGTGGTCGCAGCACCAAGCCTTGCTTGGCAGAAGGGTATACGTACAGATCACGGTCAACAATGTCTAAGGATTCGATGAACCAAATCAATCAAGTTGATCCCAAACAAACTAGTTTCAAATAAAGAGACCGTCTGAAAAAAGGAATCCAAACTAAGAACGATAGTGACACAGCCACTTGAAAGTAGTTCTGGGATCTAATTTATTGGGTGTGAACCCGAACGACACCAAACGATGTCTGCCTTCTGGTGATCAGTCCACTTGTCAGAGTCAATATCTGCACCTTGGCTTCAAGTGTGCGTTCAACAAAAAAAACCCGAGAAAACGCACTTACCACCTCAGTTCCCCTCAGAAAAACAAATAACACATTAAACTATTCTACCAGTTGGATTTTAGTTGGGAAACCAATCCCAAAAAAGGTCAAAGGTTGTCCTTTGACTGGGTAGGGCAAAAGAAAACTTGGAGGGGGATGTGTCAAACAAAAAAAACAAACGCCCAAGGTTGGCACTGTGAGATAATCTATGTTGAATTTGTTGTTCAACATGTTGCGCCCCATCGGAACGAATCTAAGTTACAGGTTTGGCTGTTTGGCCTAAATCTCCTGTACACAACAACAGTTGATGCATGACACGGCAGCAAGTGGGACGGTCTTTAGTTTGAGACACATCCTGTTTTGGCGCGTATCACCTGTTTGCCCACCCGGGTCCTATAAGTGAGCCAAGTGGAGAACAAATGAACAAAAAATTGATGCACTCGATCAGATCAGCTAATATTAAAGTATCTTATGAACAACTCGGTGGGTTTAAAACAGATCCCCAACCCACCCAAACAATTGAAAGCGGTTTGTATGTGTCAATGTTTGTTGTGAATTGTGAAGATTGAAAAAAACAACCTTCATGTGTTGTTTGTCTAGTAGAAGCTGAAAAGCAAATCAACACAAACCCGCAGCATCCCTCTTACGAATCAGCTTTTCCCAAAAGCACCTGCAAAGTTTCTGTCTAACCACCATGATCAGCAGCAAAGTCATCACCATAACACAAGCATCAGCACATCATCATCGTCATCGTCATCGTCATCGTCATCGTCATCGTCATCATCATCATCATCATCATCATCATCATCATCATCATCATCATCAATCTCATCACATCATCATGCAAATCATACAGGTGCAAAAATGCAGGTGATGCAGCTACTGGAATCCACCTACATCAATACAGGTGTTCAACAAAAGGTGTTTGGATACAGGCGTTGAGACACAGGTGTTGGTTGAAATACAGGTGTAGAGATACGGGTGAAAAAGTCTACAAGACCTACTACACAACTACAATTTCGACATCGTATAAGCTTGTCTTAAGGCGGTGAACATCGTCTGCGGGCAACCTTCTGGGGAGATCGTTTGCGTCGAGTGCTCGAACATGGAGCAATGCGAGTTGGTGTTGCCCTTGGGGTACACATTGTGGAGATCGTGTGGGTCGAGTGCTCAAACGCGAGGTGAAATGCGAATTGGTGTTATCCCTTTGCGGAGATCGTGCTTGTCGAGTGCTCAAACGTGACGTGGAACGCGAGTTCTTGCTGATGTCGGAGTGTCGAGTGGCCAAAAAGTATAACCGCCTTCGAAAGTCACCGTGGAAGTTGCCAAAGAGTGTAACTGTCGTCGAAAATCGTTGTGGAAGTTGCCAAATGTGTAGTTGCTATCGAAAGTAATCACCAAAAAGGTGAAAGTTGTCGAAGTCTACCTCGAGTCCAAAATCAAAAGTCCAGGTTGAGGTTAACTGTCGTCGAAAACCAAGGTGGAAGTCGTGTTGTCGAAAACCAACGTGGAAGTTGCTCAAGTGTGCACTGTCATCAAAATCAATTTGGAACCGGTCCAAGTCTGCAGGGCAGTCGTAAAATACATAGAATGTGCAACACAAACAAGTGCACAGTACACACACCTGAAACACAGTGCACACAAATGTCAGTTCCAAGGGTTTCAAAGCTTTCATGGTCCATACAGTTCCTTTCTTGACAGGTGTGTGCTAAGAATCTACTAATGAAAACACAATCATATGTCACTTCATATGTCATATGGCAAGCTTACCCAACATGCATGTCTCACAACTCCCTTACGCAACCTTACGCTTTTCAGGTTTTTGCTTACGCCCAAGTTCCATATGACAAGGCCTTTACTTAGTTCATGTTGGGAGGTTTCTTGCGGCGCTCAGGTGAAAGCGGCGCGTCGCCGGTGACCGGGATGCTTGAGTGGTGCCAACGAGGCTTGGCGTTACGTTGTTGTACAGTATCCAACAGTGTGGGGCACACAGAGTGCACCAAAATTATGTCGGAGTGGTGTCGCTGTACCACGCGGTGTTGCGTGGCCTCTGTGAAAAGTGTGTTTGCGTGGCTCTGTGCCTTTGGGAAACAGGAAGCATGCGTGTGCAAACGCCGTGTCACTGGTGAGCGGGATTGATGAGTGGTGGTTGCCCAGCAGAGTGCCCTACAATGTCCCACAAGAGTGTCTCGGTAGTGTCAAGCAAGAGTCTCTTGCAAGAGTGCCTCACAAGTGTCCTACAAAAGTACCCCACAAGGGTGCCCCACAAGAATGCCCCACAAGGGTGTCTCACAAAAGGGTCACACAAGAGTGTCCTACAAGTAATCTTGCAGTGTCCCACAACATGTCCCACAAGTGTCCCACAGTACCGTCCTACAAAAGTGTACCTCCAAGGGGCGGTGTACATGAGCGCGCCATTATTATCACAATCATGATCATGGTCGTCATCAACATCATCGTTAACTTGTCATCTCCTACTGATCCTACTGTGCTTTCGGGCCACGCTGTCATCTAGATTGTTGTGTTTTTCATTTTCCCATTTGCATGTTACAGTATGATTTTTCATATGTCCAAATTTGCGTCAATTGTCTTGTTGCAAATTAACTCAGGTTTGGACTACAATCGAAGGGATTTGCGCTCGTTGCATGGCTGCTTTCTGCGCAACCCATCTGCTCGTGAGCGCAACACCAGGCCTGCCGTGCCCGCTCAAAAAGGGAGGTCATGACGACATGGTACCCGGTGTGTGTGTTTTTTGTAAGGCGGCTGTTAACCTATATATACAACCGTGCTTCCTGGCTTAACTTATACTGCAAAGGATCGTACGTATATAGTGACATCACGCGTGGTTTTCACGCCTTATGTTCAAGAACTTCATCGACAGTCAGTGGGTTGACGCATGTTGACCCCGTCAGCAGCCACAGCCCCAATGTTCATGTTCAACTTTCAACGGGGCAGAAATACATGGCCTGCTGCTGATGTGACCACGCTTCCCGCCACTTGTCAGCACCAGCACCTTACCAAGGTTGTAGAAAGAACAGGCGCAGTAGACCGGTCCAAAGTGCACATACCCTAAAGGTCTAGTTTGACCCACTAAGACCTGGTCCTAAAGCTCATTGAGTAGTCAAGCTTCTTGGATCTTTCATGTAGGTAAGAATAACAAATCAAAAAAGTAAGAATAACAAATCAGAACTGATGGGTCAGGGAACACCTCACCATGTATTGCAACTTCAGCAACTTCACGGTGCAGGATTTACATCTCAATGGTCTCAGGTTTGACTGGATCTTGCTTAAGGTTTGACTGGATCTTGCCTGGAAATGAGTTGAGGTTTCCTGACCATTTTGCTACATGATTTTGCCAATCTTGGATTCTCTTGGAGTACATGACAATGATTGGCAATTGGTGTAGCTCAGTGCAGTGCAGTTCAATTCATCCTGTATTTGGGTGTATGATCGTGTATGGACAAATAAAAGAATAACACGCCAGAATTATCAGATTCTTCAAGCTTCAATCTAAAGACACTGTTCTGCTTGAATACAATCGTCGAGCCGGTGCACAGTTGTTTGTTTCTGACCTCACACCCATCTTCTTCAGCCAAAGGGAATCGGAAAGCGCATGAAACCACTTGAATCAAGTTTCTTGGACTCCCCTTGTATCCGAAAATGGTCGATTTCTGACATACTTTGATCACGATGTCGATCAGAACATCGGTTCCAAGATGTTCCAAAGGGATGTTCCGAGTCCTAAGGGACCCCTTTTTCTCTCTCTATGGATGTTCCGAGTTTCCGATCCTCTTGTGTCGGGGCGACCTCTCCTGGGACTCCGACGGCAGTCGAAGGCTTGAGCGGCTTTGGTCTTTCTGCGGCTTGGCGCCACCTCATGTGATGCCTCTGGGTGGCACGCAACATGATAGTGGTCGCAGCACCAAGCCTCGCCAAAAAGAAGGATGCATCATGACGCAACGACGCAACGCGTCAAACGGCTTGGTACCTATGTGTGTGTGTGTGTGTGCCATGGTCAGAAATTCATTCCAAAAGGAGACAGTCATCCTACAATGACCCTGATTTAAAGCGGATCCCCATCCCCTTAACTTGAAAGACTGTTGTGTGCAGGCATGTACAAGTGCAAATCTCTGACTGGTAACGTGCGACGTGTGCCTTCCATTTGCGGAAAATCCGGTCCCTAACTGCAGATTGCACTCTGTTCAGTGATCTGGTCCGGTCCTTCCCTTGTGACAACAACATCAGTTCCTTCCTTCATTACATTCCAACCGATCCAACCCTTCATTGGGGCTCCCCCTTCCAAAAAGAACATCACTTCTAGCACGGTGTCCAATGCGCGACTCTAGGGCTGGCTGAAATTTGAGCGGTGGAAACTGCATGCTTCCGAGCGGTTGAACTTGCGGAGATAAAAACGGGAGGGAGTGGGCTACCAAGAATCCTTGCACCCTCCATAGCAGGGGTCCGGACCCTCAAAGCCCATTCCATTTGAGGGTCCGGATTCCTAGGATAAGGTACCAACAGGAACCAACACCATGGAGCTGTGCAGCTCGCTGCACTCCCCCAGTTCCAGCTCGCTTGCTTTTGATCAGCCCGCCTTCTTCGGAGATGACCTGATCCGTGCAGCTCGCTGTTCAACGTCCGCTCGAGCGGCTCCAGGTCCGGGTGTTCGAGCGGCTCGTTTGGGATGAGTCGAGTCCTGACAAGTCCTTGCTCCTAGTAGCGATGCCCTTTGCTCCTAGTAGCGTCTAGTAAGGCCAGGAGCCCCTAGTAGCGTCCTTGCTCCTAGTAGGACCCATGGGTATCCAGAAAGTACTGCCACCCTATGGATCCACTGGTCCACCCTCTTGGAGTACAAGTTGCTTGGAGAGACTTTATTGCAGCTGCCAAGAGGGTCCAGTCCCGGTTTTCTTGGATCCCTACAGTTTGGCATGTAAACCTGGGTTCCCAGGTCTCACACTGCTCAAAACCGATGTCTCTGCAAGGGTGGACGGATCATGGCCGACTTCCGCGCCCAGGTGGTCGACGTGTCCATCCAGGGAGATGCAGCACAAACACATGTCCTGCTTTGTGTTGCACGTTTAAATGCAAGGACCTTCCAAACCGGGAAGAAAGCTTCTATCTCAACCATCATGTCCCAGCTGCTCATGAGTACGTGTAATGATGATTTGCAAAGAAAACTAACGGTTTCAAATGAAGCTCCACAGCAAAAGGTCTGTTGCCAAGCATGGCAAAATGGGCCCTGTATCGAGATAAATCTCATTATGGAAGGGCATCTAGGCACAGCGACCGCTTCACAAGGCTTCGCAGCATAGGAACTTAGTCAACCTACCGACTAAACATGACTAAGCGTGATAAAACCCATATAGTACAGCATATAGTCCATTCTACGTATTATTGAGCTCATAACGCCGGCCAAAGGGTGACCATGCACTGATTTTTGCGACGAAAAGCTGCTGATCATCTCAGCAAGTGAAATGCAAGGTGACCACTCCTTGATTGTGCCCCCCGCCCGATACATGTGTATATATTTGGACATCATTAGTGTGCATGTGTCTTTTTGTTGACGCTATGTTCATATATGTTCATATTATAAAAATAATATATATATATATATTCAATTGTATAGTCTATATTTATAGTTATTTATATATATATATATTCATATGCTAACAAGAACCCAGTGAGCTGTTTGGATGTCTACTCTTCCCAAACACCAGTCCTAACAAAAGGAGCGACAAACTGAGGCATCCAGACCAAAGACTCCGCCAATGCTGAAGCCCTGCGTGACAATCAAAGGTTGCTGCCCGCGCAGCGGCCGCAGCCGCGGCTGCCGCCGCCACGGCGGCCGCTTGGGAGGAACACCTGGCCAGGTAAGGATGGTGACATCGGATCATTGGATGGAAGTGACGATTCACAGGCACGCGGTGAAAAAATGGTGAAATACAACCAGTGATGGGATGAAACTGGTGAATTTGCTATTAAGGCAAGTTGATGGTGAAATTGTGTTGAATTTCCCATCGAGCGAGCCCTGCCAAATGATCCTTGATCAGCTTCGGACTTCAGCCCTGCAGGGCTTTTGTGGAATCCCTTGATGTCCCTTGCTTCACCAAGTGCACATAACTGCGCACATAATATATAAATTATATATATATATGAAGCTCGGAGAGGGTCCATCACTCAGTCGCTTTGTCAAAGCGTCCTTCTCGCGCGGAAAAGGGCACCCGAGTCCAGAGTGCTGACAACACCAGTCCTGCGCACGCGGATGTCGCTGTTCGCCGCGTGGGCGAGGGTCGATGTGGTCTGGAGAAATGGTCAGTCTGTCCAGGGGACCCATGGGGACCCATTAAGGATTCTCCGATGTTTTCCAAAAGGAGGTGAAACTATTGGTTCTATATTCTTCCGAACATCTCCGAACAAATCACATGGGAGTGGTGTTGTCCACTCTATTCACAAAGGAACATGGCCCTCCAGGGGTCCATGTTCTGCTTCCATATTAGTACGTGAGTCAGAGGGTACAGTCCTGGATTGTCCGATGGCCTTTGAACGTCCTGGGGATGCTGACCCGGGCTTGCTTCTATCCATTTCTATCCCCTTTCCATCACTCATTCGCTGATCTGCATGCTACCAGGTTCCAGGAAGCAACACATAAGCATTGACACTATAGATATATACATGTGTTGAGTGTTGATAACCTAGGTGTCAAGCTCAATAGCAAGATCTGCCCAGTCTTGATCCGCTCGCGCCTTCTTTCCAGGCGTCCAGTCAATCATCCAGGTTTCTTCACGGTGGTGGCAGTCATAGACTGCGCAACCACGTTGCTGATGCCTGTGCAACGGATACGACATGATACGCCGATCATATCCATTCCCTTCATCGAATACAAAGGTGTCAAAGGATCGCGAAGGTGTAGATCTGCATGATATCGGGACACCCACCTGGACACAGGCCCCCTTTCACTGGCACTTGGTAGAGGAAGTCTTCATCAGCCCCGCCTCCCGAGCTTTCGGTCCCCGCCTCCCATGCTCAACTGAAGCTTTTTGGTCCTCCCACCGTGTCCCGACCCGAGATCCTCGCGTGAAACGCGTGTTTTCAGCGCCTACAGCACCAGAGTTTCTTGGGTGGCGACCTGGGCACAGGGGATCATGGGGTTTCTGGTTGCTCCGATTGACCTCGATTGAGTCTCAACAGAATGTTTTCTTGAGGGGTTCATTCGGGTTCAGGGGTCCACCCGGAGTCCACCCTGCCATCGGCAGCTGCACGCTGAATGTAGTCAGAGGATGTCAGAGGCCCAAGTCTAAGGCGAGAGCCGGTGAGAGCAAGAGGAAAACGTAAAAAGAATGGGCCAACCAGGATCCCGATTTTCGGCTTCTTATTGGATCAGGGAGAGTTAGCGTAGACTCTTGACTATCAAACCTCGAATATAGCGAGGTTTGACCATCATTTCAGCGCATCATGTCGCTCCAAAGTCCCGACAAGAATAGAGTATATACATGTTCTTTAAACGGGTGGGGTGGGGCTGGGAGAATGAGGTTTGTTGCTCAGAACACTGATATCATTTAAGTGTGTTGGGGATTTGACATTTATTATATATATATACATTTATCGTGTTTTCAATGATATGGCATTAATAAAGCACTCAGTGGGCCTCTGTGTGACCTCATGACATGGTCCGGGTGCAAACAGACAAATATATGTCCACGATGCCGCGTCACTGGCCAACGGTATATGATTTTATCTATAAAATAACATGTATTTGTTATTCGTTACTAATAGCAATGGCCTCCACATGCGAGCGATGACATAGTAGCTTCCTAAATAAGTATATATATATATAGTATTATATAGTTATAGTATATTATAGTGCTTCATGTGGTGTTGGTGTAGTTGAACAAACGCTGACATTGTTTTCTTGTGCATGCTGTGGGCTTGCAGGAAATGCGGGGGACCACCTTCGATGTCCTTGTGTTTGGGTGTGTAGAGTGTCCCTCCTCGAATCGTTTTTGGTGGGATTTATTTTGGAAGGATCCCCTCTTTTTCCGCGTGCGTTGACATTTGCACCTGGTTGTGTGATCAGAGTGTATGTTTCATCCAGATCATCCAGCCTGTTTCGTTCATCCATGACATTGCCTTGTCGATCTGTAGATCATCTTTTACATTCTGACTTGTTGGTTGATTTGCATTCGCTATTCGGGTGGTTTCAACTCGAAAAATAGTCAGGATCTTGTAGGGCCCTGAGATGTGCTAAAGGCCTGAAACAAGTTTGGCTTTCAGTACAAGGAGTGAGTGGTATTGATTGTTTTTTTGTTCGTCCTCATACTCCAACAGTCTTGATGTCAATCAGACTCAACTTGTTTTGTTTTGTTTGTGGACCAAAAGCAGGAGAGGCCAGAGTGTTGTAATGCCTAGGTCAATGAGTTTATTCTATTGACTTTTGAGGATTGCTTCATCAAGGAAGGTCTCGGAAGCATGTAAACTGTTTGGCTTGGTATCAGCAGCCAGGGTGGTAGGGTGGCAACGGCATATGTGAAAAAAAGGACATCAATCCGAATCAACCCTACTTGTATAAGTGGCAAGTATGAGAACCCACCCCCACTTGTATAGGTGGAAGGCCATCATCCCATCGTCGTGGCTGCACTGGAAGAGTTGTTCTGAAAAACAGCCCGTCGCCTTCACAAGGTTTGTTTCATTGTTGGGTATGCTTTCCAATGCCAAACACCAAACAGAACCGATGGATCCGGTATGGATCAAAAAGCTGCCGGTGTTGTGTGCGAAGCATTGCGAAGCTGTTTCTGAACACTCCTCTGAGACTGATTGCAAGCTTTATGCTGTAGCATCCGCCAAGACTCATGTGGTCGAAATACTGTTGTCATAAACTCTGGAGAACCCAAGACTAATGTTTGGACCGCCGCCTACATAAAGGTGTCTCCAATATCGTCAATATCCCTCTCAAAGGGTATGTGGGGTGTGTATATGTAACATTATAACAGAGAGATCAGAGATCCCCTAAGCCTCCAAGGGAAACGTCCACGGAAAATGAAAATACAATTTTACTTCACCACTTCGCTCGGTTTCGCCATTGGGCCCCAGCCATCCGCTCTTCCAGTGGGCGTACCCGGAATCACAGTCGAAGGTCTCAGCAGTTTTGCCTTAGAGCTAGGGCACCAGCGTGGGCAAACGCGCTGAAAAGCGATCTGAGAGTGAAGCTGGTTCTTCTTTTTGGTTCGAAACCGCGCAGGTTTCAAAATGGATTGTTGTTTGGAGATCGAAACTTGAAACCATAGGGAGGTTGACGCGGCTCTTGAATGTGATCTACAGCCATTCGGGTCTGACAAGAGCTGCATATGGCTGCATCATTTCACCTGGGTGCTCAAGAGAGGGTGCATACTGCATACTCTACAAGTCCCACCGAATTGTCAAGCGACACATCTTCAACTGGGAAAAGGCACAGCTTTTTGAAGACCGTCTTGAAAACTGTAGCTCACCATGGTCGATTCTTGGGAGGAACCGACAACAATCGCATTTTCTGAGCAAGAGACCCAGGTGATAGCTGGCACTCAAACAGACTCAAACACGCTCCTTTGCTCGGCTTCAAAAAAGCAAGTAGTAGCTGCTGTTCGCAACAATTAGATCCTGCAGCCCGCGGTAGGGTTCTCAGGTTCTGCAGGAGGGTTTCCTAAGATGTTGATAGATTTTGCAAATTCTGCCCCAGAGGTTGTTGATGTTTGTGTCACGTGGAATGCTACCCACCCCCTGTGACTTGAGCACAACTCCCTTCGCTCGAGTTTGGAGGAACAGCCCGCACAGCGCTGCGCTCTGACGCTTTTGCTTGGGACGGACTATTCAACCGGAATGAGCAGCTAAAGGTTGAATTAGTCCTACAGCCCAGTCGTACAGGGTTCCCCAAAACAACGATTGGCCTCCTATACCTGTGGCCCCTTTCGAACTGAGCATTCCCGGAAACAGTCATCACTATCAGTCACATCCTAAAGTCGTACGTACAGTAGTAGCGAGCAAAACTACAGAGGACATTAAAGATTCGGAGATTGGTATCTGAGCTCAGCCTCACGGTGCATAATTACTGCTTTAAGCCCGACTGTCATGAGCAAGAAAAGGGTCTGACCCCTAAAGAATCATTGGGTGACAAACAGTGTCTTGAAAGTCAGTTGTGTTTGTACTTTTTGGAGACAAGTACATGCACGCCCGTCAGTTTGCCGGCTTACTTGTTACCTCAAAGTCGTCAGTGACTAAGACTGAGACTGCAAAGGGAATTTATATTATGAACTACATCTGGCTGTGAGTTAACAAATGTAGTCTCCCAAACCCTGGCCCTTGAAGGTACGGTGACTACAACCAGTGGAAGCATGGACAGTATTTTTGACCCCCATCTCACCAAACAAGGTTATCTGGGGCTCCAGTTGTATCTGCTCAGAAGGTATTTGTCCACTCCCACCCCAGTCCCACCCTCGTGGAAGCTACATAGGAGCCCACTTAGGAGCCCTAGGCTTCTCATGCTTGACCAACCAGGTAGGACAACGACGAAGCGGCTGGGAGGCAAGGTCCAGGAAGGACAACCGCGAGCAAAGTGACTGCAACACCTGAGTGACGGTGAGAGAAGCTACTAGGAACAAGTGCATCGCTTCTAGTAACAAGTGCCTTACTACTGTGTAACAATGTTTGCTATTAATTAGTATATAATTGGTTAGGACTGTTAGTGAGAGAAATGGATTTGGGTCCCGGGCACCGACTCCACCCTGAGTGTCGGTCGCTACATGGTGGACTAGTGCAGCCGGGTCGGCCAGCTCGGCTGCCTTTCCCCTATCCATTGACTACATCCTCACCCATCCTGTCCGACTGGAACCATACCACGTCATCAGTGAGCAGCTCGAAAGGTCTTGGGAAGTCTCTGCCGTGCTGTCCATGTCTGACTTGCTACGGTGTAAAGGGATGTGCTGTTTCAGCATGCCGGCACGGCAGTTGTTGCTCAGAACCCTCCAAGAAGTAGGAGAAACGAAAAAGAAATGGCCAAGTCTCAAAACAGGGGGGGTTCCCCAAAACCAATGGGTTTGCGACGCTTCTTGTCTCAGTCCCCTCCCTGTAGCGTTTTCGAGGAAAAGAACCTCAACTGAATTCACAGAGTTCTGGGGCATTGACCCGTGTTCACTTACTGCTGTTGTCAAAATCAACGACCATGAGACCCTTGAAAACTGCACATGCAAAGTATACCCATATCACTGATACTCATGACAAAGGACATCTTTCCAAAACATCTCCTACTGGAACATCATATGGCTGTGAGTCAAAAGAGCCTTGCCCAATTGCTGGTAGATTGACCCCCTGGCCGTCTATTTTGTGTATTGTTGGTGGTCGACCAGAGTGTTTCGGTTTTTGGCCCACAAACATGATCATAGATCCAGAGACAATGAGTCCAAAACGTCTACTTGGCTACTCCCTTTAGCTGGAAGGGATCCATCTCACAAGAGTTCTTTCTGAAAATGAACAGATCTGCAAGACGTCATGCACATCTAGCTTGTTCATCACTGTTGAACCACATACGACTTCAGACGATCTTGCGGTTTTGCTAGGTCCTAGACCAGGTTTGCTTGTCGAAGTCCCAGTTATGCCACCAGTCATCATAACCAGCATGGCAGTTGTGCAAGGGCTTGATATTCCTGGCGGGCTTGCGGTGTTGAGGTTTAGGCAAAAGAAGCTGCTTCCATAAAAAAAAGACCTACACACTACTTGCACAAACAGTTGATGATGCATCAGGTATTTGCCAAATGCTTTCAACCGGTATCTGCCAAATGCTCATCACTCCTGCTCAGTAGGAGAACCATATATCCGGCAATCATCGTCAGGATAGTTCCAGGGGATCACAGTTGAATTCCGGCGGAGCAATTTCCACCCCGAAGTAAATGTATAGATATAAATCAGGGTGGAAATTACTCCGCCGGCATTTCATTAGGAAAAAGAGGAAAAAGACATCATGTCAATGAGATTCTCAAGGGAAGCTGTTACCAAACTTTCTGCCAACTTATATATATATATATATAGTATGTATAGAAACATGGAAGTGGAAAACCCATGTTTGTTAAGGAAAAGTGTCATTCTATGGATGGTCGGAGTGGTCCGCTCTAAGAACATCCACCCCTCCACACCCACACACACAAACAAAAAATAATCCAAGAGGTATGTAATTCCCTAAGAACTGACACTGGCAAAACTGCTGACCTGGAGGCTCTCTACGAAGTAACACGTTCTTGGCGCACCCAAATTGTAAATGGTTTTCTCCACGTCACGGTGAAGATGTTGTGCAACAGGGGTAATTCAGTAGTTGCACTCTTGGATGTTTGATCTAGGTCAACCACTCTTTCATTCTCATCCCGAGTAGTCCTGAATGGTGGCAGCGTGGTACTGCTTGTGACGGTGGTGACGCAAACTCCTGATTCGTGGCACCAGACCGACCGGAAGGCCGTTCGCTACGTGGACCAGGGCTCCAGGTTTTACACCGCGAGACAGCGGTTTTGACCCACAGCCCAAGGTCATTTCCTGTCCTCCTACTGACTGATTTGCAAGAAACTGTGTGTCCCTGCATCAATGCAGGTGCTCAACGCTCCATTCACCGAACTTGGACCTCCGAAACTGTCCCCAAAACAGCTGAAACTCGGAGGGTCCTGGTTGATCTTTTGAATTCAAGTAGGAGCAAGGATGCTACGTTCGGGGCTCTTGGCCTTACTACTAGGAGCAAGGGCATCGCTATGTCCAACAATAAACAAATAGAATTAAGGTTCGCAGAACATCCACATCACCAAGGCCTTGATTGGCGCAACACCATTGCCGCTGCCGCTCAGTCCAGGCCGTCGCAGGGATCGAGGCCTGGGCTGCTTTGGCGAATTCATCCGGGTGTTCAGCACTGCAAGCATGTGTACAAACCATTTCATGCAAGCAAATAGGACCTACACTGGTGAATGTAGGTCATGTAGGACCTACATGGAGCATCGGGGATGTGTAAAGCATTGTAAAACACTCCATGTATTTTAACATAGTTGCCGACCATTACAGTGGTCAAAATACATGGAGCTGTCAGTCTGGGTTGACAGTCCAGTTGACTTGTCAAAGAAAGCAACACGTCAACCAGTTAAACCCTCGGGTGGACCGTGTAGCCCAGGACATCCGAAAAAAAATGATCACGCAAAGCTGTTCGGAGCTGAAGACTCTAAGCGGCAAGCACCCCTAGCTAGCGGCCCCAGCCGCCGCTCGCAACTGTGAGGGTATTTAAAGGATTTCAGACTTTAAGAGATGCTTGAAAGCCTGTCAATCTGAAGGCTCAAAAAGAACACCTCATTGCCAACTCATTGCTCATTGATTCAATGCTGCATATATATATATAGTTAAATACTCAATACATCTCCCAAAAAATAGCTTCAGGTCGGTCAACCCCTTTCACGAAGCATTGGTCTGACCCCAGCCTCCGGATGCCTTGATGCTCTTGGATCCCCTGAGCCGCCCCACCGTGGCCGTGAAGAATTCCTGTTCGCTGAGGCTGGACTCACCCGGCGGCAGTAGCCTCCAGTCACCGAAACGGAAGCTGAGCCCAGACCTTGTCGGGTTAGCGGAGCTCCCCACCCGTCGAACTGGTACCCCTCGAGCCGGAGGTGTCCTGGAATGCTGAACATCAGAGTTAACCGAACCAACTCCACCTGTTGGAGTTTGGAGTGTCCCGGAGTCCCCTTCAGAAAGGTGACCGACTCTCACCCCCCAATATCTCAAAACAGTTAAGAAGGGATGCCTTGTGGGTAATCAGGTCGGCTTTCCCTTTCAGCCCATCGGCATCAGGAGCCCCACGACCACTCAGCCAAGCTGCCGGAGGAAGGCGTCAGATGGCAAGTTCGCCCAGACCTGAAAACAATCGAGGTGGGCTGGATCGATCTTGATCGATGGATAGTCAATTATATAATATATGGTTTGTGGAATTCATTGATCAGTTCTTCGTGATAAATTATGTTCCACATACTTTGCAAATCTTTGCAATAGTAGCTAGAAGCTACTAGGTGGAGGCCATCGGTAGGTTGGAGGCCATCGCTACTAGTAACAAGAAGATACTAGAAGTTCACACAATTTGCGGTGTGACTCTCCCACCCGTTCCACATCGTTTTTTCGACGTCCACCTTTCCTCTCAGTCCAAGAACCGGAGCAACCGGTGAAAGAACCCATTTCGGCGAAAGGATTCTGCGTTTTGACCTCTGACCCAATCCACCAATGAGGCTTTGGAAACCAAGTCTAACTTGGGAGCCTCGGGTCCATGAGCATCTAGGAATCAACCTTTCTGAAGCACTCCATGCAAGCAAATATGACTCTACATGTACACTCAGTTTGGTTTTCCTGGTGAATGTAGGTCATGTAGGACCTACCTACATGGAGCATTTGGATTTTCTTTTGGGATATTGGATTTGATTGAAAGCAACATCAACAACCACAAAACAACATCCACTCCAAAGACCGGCGACCGGTCCGGAAAGACGGGTCCATTAGGGTAGTTGGCAACCGGTCTGACCATTGATTCAGTAGGGATTGTAAGCCAAGCAGCTACAAAACAGACCAAATGATTGCCCCTCCACCACAATTACCAACAAATCCAACGATTGTCACAGAAATTCTGCTATTTCAAGAAACTCGGAGACACCCACTGTAGCACGAGTGCACAGAAGACCGTCTGACCTCCCCATCTGGAAGACCTAGCCACATCTGCCGTCCCCAAGAGGATCTCACCCGCCCGGATCTCAGCGATACGGTTCAGCCGTACACGTTTGGCCCCCGGACAGCAGTGCTTTGCAGTCGGTTTTTGGACACAATGCCATCGCCGTTCCTCGCCGTTCGTCGGCGTGGGGGGTCAAAGAAAGGCAACGACCCACGATCAGCCTGGAAAGCGCTCCAAAAGATTGATTTCATCTCTAAGCAGGAGTTTGTGGTTTCCTACCATGTTTCCTTGGGCATTCATTCCTGTGATGTCTAGCAAATCTCCCTCATAGTGGGCCTAGTCTAGTTGCTTGATGTCAATCCTCGGATCCTTTGATTGGTTCAACAACGGCAGCAAGGTGCCGCCCATCGACGCCATCCAGGTACCGCACCCATCCAGTATGGCCCAGGCTGCTTTCGCCAGGTCCACTGCAGGGCCTGACGCCAGGTGCACAGGTGTAAAGGCATTCAACAGTTGGTGGACATATGTGACATTCCTTTGGTTTTCTGACATGATCAACCACCATCGTGAGCGTTTGGACCAAGCATTATAACATAGTTATTCTACCAAAGAATGGGGGAGCTGATATTGCACTAACGCACTAAGGGAAGCATTCATCCTCCCTGTCAGTCACTCGCGTAGCATTTACCCAGATATACGCAGGTTTGATTGTGCATGGAACCCCAGTTGAAAGCTGTTCACACTTGTTCCACTCTCTGTTTGTTCAGATTGTGTGACACTGTCCATTGAGGGATTTCCTTAAGAAAATGGTCGGGTCTGTGACACTGTGGGCACCGTTTTCTTTTGCAAAATCTCTGAGAACTAAACAGGGGCGGTGGCTGGCTACCCAGGGGCCCCCAAAGAACGTGGAAAACCTGTTTTGGAGAATCTGAATAGTGCAGGAATCCACAGACCCTCCTACTTATATTGGATCCTGCGTCACGTGCTTACTTTGCGCGTAAATGTTGGTGCCATGGCTTACTGCTGTTGCATGACCCCAACAAAGGCCGCAAATAGCTATATAAAGATGTCGCCGGCACATGACCCAACCGGGATGGTCAACGTCACCAGACCGGCGACCGACCGATGCTCCAGGTGCCAACCGCTCCCATTCCCACATCGCATGACCCAACCGGATCTTCGATGTTCGTTGGAGCTTCATGCCCTGCACCCTGCTGTTTCCTGCATCTCTGAGTGTTTCAAACTGCACCTTGCATGAACGGCTGCGAAACGCTCTTGAACTCGTTCTTGCCTAGGCAAATGGAGAGCAACATCTTGCGAAGCGATCAAGGACCATGGTCCTTGGAACCAAATGTTAGGCCGAAGTTCAGTGTTCACCCGTCTGAGCCTTAAAATGATGGTAGTAGGTGGTGAATGAAAGTTCATCTGCCTTCAGAAATTCAGGATCGCATTTACCATGAACAAACTTGTAAAATTGCCAGGGCCTACATCGGAAAATCTTGTACAACATACATATATATATATACGTATATATATATATATTACAATGTTGCAAATATACCTTATGTTTAGTTCGGGTCATGTCCCATGTCCTGAAAATCCTTAGAACATGGGCCAAGGCACTTACGCCATCGGATCCGGTGACCACCCGAAAACCGCCTTTGAGACCTGACAGGGGTTCACCCCCCTTTGAGCCTGAGATCTGTCGCTGTCCCTCAGAGAGCTTGGGACCAGTACTTGATGGATTCGGATCCAGGAAGGTCCAGGTCCAGGTCGCCTTTGCTTCGCTTTTGCTCTCGCTTGGTCTTCCAAGGCGCCGATGACTCCATCGGAGTTATGGTCCGAGGCCCAGAGCGCGTCGGCCAGCACGTCCTGGGAGGGTCCAGCGGTCCGGTTCAGATCCCTGGGATCGAAAAGCCAAGAACTTGGAACGACGAACACAGGAACAAGACATAGGTACAGTCGTTCAAAACGTGATTTTGTCTTTTTAAACATGGACATAAATAAGACTTCCGAGCATGGGTACTTTTGAGGGTCCACGTAAAAGTATCTTTGATTCGGGATTCTTCGGGTCTCTCATGGTCTCTCTATGGTACCAAAAGCGCTCTCTGCCCACAGGATATCACAGGATCGAATAACAATCCATATGGCCATAGAACTCTGACTCTAAGTAACTGTATTTGAGGTGGTGAGACTTAGCTTTGGAAGATGGTGAGAAAAACATGTGAAGTGTGATGATGTCGGTCCTGATTGATAACCATTGTCACGGGAATTCATTTTCAGGATATTCAATGACGGCCATCAAGGGGGGGCGGTAGAAAGCTCTTTGTCAATAGCAATTCCAAGAATCCAACATTACTTGGGTTTCACTCACTGATGAAAAAAAAACAGCTGCTTGATGTTTGCTCCTTTCCAAGCAGGTGTTTCATGGTGTTGCCTCTGGTTCCTCAAGTATAGCCCAATTCGCCATGCTACTTACTGCTACGGTTGAAGAACGAGTCCTCCTCCAAGCTCCTCAAAATGGACATATATTGGGCCCCACTGGTTTGCAGAGTGAACTGTACAGCTCAGGTAGTCTGACAAAGACAAAACACAAGCCTCTCACATGCTCGCAAAAACAAGGTCATGGTCGGAAAATAGCCATTGTGTGGCTTGAACGGCTTTCCTAGGCTCTCTGCGTCCAGAACTGACTGGTGCTTAGAAAGGAATAGAATCAATTTGGAGGGAAATTAATGCTTGGAATGGGATCTGTTTTTGATGAGCGCGTTTCATGTTGGCCGCTCAGGAGACCGTATGGACCGGTGGCATCCAATAATAGATGTCACCCTAAGTACCGGTTCCTGAACAACAAAACATCAGCCGCCTCATTCCACCGACTGCTGGAATCACCTTCAATGTAGCACAGTTATTAACGTTCCTTGGGACATGGCGCGATCCAGTCGCAAAATGTGCCGTTAAACCGTTAAACATGTTAAAAGTAGATTAAAACCTCCAGGTACCACAGCCGAACCCGAACCGAGCCATTGTAAGAGACAAGTGTTCGAGGTGTTTTAGACCCGTGTAACAGTGGATTGTGATGTGATATAACATTAACACACTGACTGTGAAGGTACTGGTTGCATCCCTAAAACAACAAACCATTCATAACAACTCCCTTCCAGCTGATCCTCCGTGCTCTTTTACTGTGAACCGGCTAAGCCTCCTATGCCATGACACAGCTGGCTGTGGAATACCACAAGCCCCATGGATCCCCATCATAAAGCCCCCTGGACCTCCCCGCATTTCGCCCTGTGGCTGTCAACAAAGGCAGATCTGTTGGAAAGCAATTTCTCGACAAGAGTAGTCTTTGAGGACGAATCTCACTACATGGTGAAACGGTGACACATTGTGAAACCTCATTCCTCATATCTTGAAAAAAAACGCTCATAGCGAGAACAATGTATTTGTTGTTATTGTTTTTAATCATCAAAATATAAACAAATGTCATATTTTCTCATAGTTAAACGTCATGAATATGTATATATAGTATTATATAGTTATATACAGTATGTATTATTATACAATTCATTTGTATTGTCCCTTGGGTCCCCCCCTACGTGCTGTCCAATGCTTCCACCGCGAACTGCTCCACTGTCCACCGCCCACTGCTCCCCGCTCTGAGCTCCCACGCCGGCACGGCCCGTTGCTCGCGCGCACGCTGGAGCTCCGCTTCATTCACGCGCTGATCGCCATCGGTGTCAACGGTATTGAAGATCACGTCCGAAATGTCCATGCGTCCCTGTTGGTCGGCGGTTGTGCGGTGGGGAGGGAGTGAAAATACATAGAGTTAAATAGATAAACAATGTCACATGCTCTTTTTTTGTTTCGCATCAAACGCTTAATTACCCTACCTGCACCAGTCATGGAAGTGGACAATGGCCCCTGGAAGATTATGTTACCTTCCATGTTTGTTGCAGGGAGGGTAAGTGCTTAATTTGAAAGGCTTGACCGGAACGGAACGAGGCTAAAAGTCCATTTCCGGCGCTCACTCCCTTTGTGCATTCCCGAGTCCCAACCCAGCAATTCCGCAACAGCGAACGCAGCGAGCCATGGCTGGGAGGCGAACAGATCTCAAGGCATCTTGGAACTCCTGTCCGTCCAGCCTTGCCAAGTGGAAGGCCAAGCGCAAGGCCGGAGGCGTGGATCTTCAAACGACTGTTACTTGGGAATACTACTTCGGGATGGGTCAAAAACTGGCAACACCATGTAGCGAACGACCTTCCTGGCTTCGACACACAGCCACTTGTTTTGCCTTAACCCCAAACAAGCTGAGCTTGCATAGCCCGCCAATTTGGGTCTTGCGGATCTGACAGCCGTTTGCTCTTTGGTGGATAGAAACCTTTATCCCTGAGCACGTTGCCATGTTTTTTTGTTCTTTGAGAGGGGACGGATATCGAATGAGCCGTTTTTCCCGAAAGCACCTGCGAAGGGTTTTTCCTTAAGCACTGCTGCCTATTTCATCTTCCTTAATCTCTTTCTCTTACTTCATCTTCCCCACTCTCTCTTCCTTACTCTCTTTCTCTTACTTCATCTTCCCCACTCTCTCTTCCTGACTCTCTTTATCCTACTTCACCTTCCTTACTTCATATTCTTTACTAACTTTCTCCTACTTCACCCTCACAACATCATCATCTAATCATCACCTCATAGGTTATCATATCATATCAGGTTATAATATCATATCACATCACATCAATGTCATAACATATCATATCATATCATGTTTTAATATCATATCACATCACATCAATGTCAGATCATATCATCTCATATCATGTGATAAAATAATATCACATCACAACATAACATATGAAGTAGAAGTATCAGATCAACAATATCAAAGTACATCAGAAGTAGATATTGATAGGTAGGTATTGATAAGTGGGTATAGACAGGTAGGTGTAGGTAGGTAGGTGTAGATAGGTAGGTGAAGATAGGTAGGTGAAGATAGGTAGGTGTAGACATCTTCCTTAAGACACCTACCCAACTTCACCTACCCAACTTCTTCTTTATTCTTCTCTTTAGGCGGCGGGGCGGTGCGAGCAGGTCTTACGAAACGCAACCCTCTCGTGGAATCGTGGCCATCGATCGCGCGCGCGTGTGGTGAGACGCGAATCGCGTT